ACGGCAGAAGGTGATGTCAGAACAAGAGTCCTTACAGCAGACGTTTTCTTTTAAGTTTAGATACCTAAAATGTTCTTGTCAAAGAGCAGCAAACCCAGAGCAGATTCCATCGGATTTTGTCCCCAGTAGGCTGGGAGAGAGTGGTGAGGAAGGAGAGAGGGTGGGAAGCAGTCAGTTTTTGTGGAGATATATATTATTGTTTCCAAAGATAAAGCCACCTTTGCTCAAACTAATTATTGTCTAATGTTTTAAGGTACCACAGCGAAGTGGGCTGAGGTGCCCAAAACCCTCCATTAGGATTCTAGTCCAGGGGTCCGAGACCTCGGGCCCAAGGCAGCAGGCGGATTTGAACCCCTGTGCTTTGGAAGCACTCGGAGTAACAATGCTGAGAAAGCCGACATTGCATCAGAAATATCGGTCAGGACAATATTTCCTGGCAATTGTTTGAGAAAAGCTTTTCTCAGAACTAATTGCTCCTAAGGGGGTTGCATTTACCTGTTTTGGGAGAGGAAGCAAGGATGGATTTTGAACCATTGTTTCCTACAATGAGACACAACGCTGGGAACGGGTCCAAAACTACAACATTTGTAATGGATCATCAAACAATTTCCCCCTCTGTCTTCATAAGGTGGTGGATGAAATTATCAATTCGTGAGAGATAAAGTGAGGGGGGTGGGAAGAGTTTTACAGGAAAGAGGGGAAATAATTTATCTAACTGCAAGAGTGCCACATTGCCATCTAGTGGTGGAGGTGTAGAACTCCTGCTTCAACCTCCCTGTGGAGTGGTCTCAGGCCTTGATATATCAAGGTTTATATTTCCAGAAAATTTGGGTATTGTCACATATTCTTACATCTCCAGAATGGGAGAGAAGTAACTACTGGATCTGAATGTTGTTACATCTGTAGTCCAACACTTTCACCACTACTAGTTTTATCAAGACTGCCTCACTAGCGGGGACTCCTTTTAAATTCTGGGCTTCTTGATTTAGGTTTTTTCCTTTCAGGAGTGGTAGCAGCCATGGCTACCCATTTTTAATTTTGTTTTAACCCTGTTACATAATGTTTACAGTCAGCCTGTAGCACATAATGCAAAGTGAACGAAAGCTAGTGGATATCGGGAGCCCCTTCCAAAGTCTGAATTAAAAAATTCTGTGGTGAACCAAAACTTGCTTTCCATTCTAGTGATTTCTACTCTTCAAGTACTGTCATATACATTCCACACACACCCACGCCAAATCATCACTTTTGATTTCAGGAGGAAATCCAACCATCACCAGACTGTTCCTCTCCAGCTTTGGCTTGGGCTGATGGGAATTATAGTCCAAAACAGCTGGAAGAGATCAGGGTGGTGATTGGCATATGGTGCCTTGGATAGCTATGATTTCTTGTTCCACCATGACCTACACAAAGGATGCAGACCAGGTTTTGTGTATACACTTCCTGTCTGCTAAGTGACCTTACAGCCAGCTCAGTCACCACAGCTGTCAAATGCAGTGAACTGGCTCAGATTCTTAAAAGAGGAATGTTGCTAACATCCCTTGGTCCCTCATGGTCCTTCACCCTCCCCTCTGACCACTGAAGAAGCTGCATAACTTGTGAAGAAAGACCCTTTGCATGAGTATGCAGCTTCTAGAACTGACGTACCTAGTTCTCCAAAACAAACTAGTTCTCTTTATTTTCTTAAAGCACCATTATGCCCCCACCAAAACCTTATTCTTAATAAATTATCCTAAAAGTGGATAGTGGGGGGGGGTTCTTGTGTGCATTTTGACTGGGCACAAAGGGATTATTTCCTCCTCATGTGGCTAGGCTATTTGGCTTCACACTATGTGTGTCTATCAGTAGGGTCAGACAGAGAAAAGCAAGCTACCTTGTGCTCAGGTAAGAGACAGAGGAAAGCTGGATGCTCTTACTTTGTAAAAATTTGCCTTGCACCCTAGGGCTTCACTTTTCCCTGAGGCTGAGGGAATGTAAGGGGCCTGCGGTGGGAGCCTATTCACCCTGCATGACTGGTCTGTCCAGACTGCTAGTTGAGAATTAGTTACAGCCCATAACACTGTCTCTCCATGTAGGGCAGTTGTGAGGATCCTTTGGCGCTCCAGATGTTGCTGGACTCCTATCATCCCTGGCCATTGGCCATGGTTGCTGGGGCTGATGGCAGTTGTAGTTCAGTGACATCTGGAAGGCGAAAGGGTCTCCACACCCAGTTCTGCTGGGCCTGTTACATTACTGTCAGACATAAAAATCCAAGAAGCCTGTGCAATCCAACATCCTGCTTTCCACAGTGCCTAACATTACTGGTCTTTTAAATAAGATTTCTATTAACATGAGCTGAGAGCATGACCTAACTCCAAAAACTACAGGAGGCAGGGCATGTGTGCAATAGCCTTTTCCCACTCCTGTTCCCCAGCAGCTGGCATTTATTTTTTTTAATTTGTTTTTATTGAAATATTTTCATGGATAACAAGGGCACATGAGACTGTTTTCAACCATAGAGTCCTTTCTACAGGTCAGGTATATTCAGTTTTAGATACTGCTGTCATAGACATTGTGAAGTTGTGGGGGAGAGAATCAGGGAAAGAAGAGGTGGGGATAACGATAACTGGCATTTAGTGGCCTGCTACCACTGATACTAGAGGAAATATATAGCCATTGATACCCTTGTCCCTCCCATGTATTTGTGCCCCTGTTATAGTGGGTCATGGTAACATATACCGTAATGACCAGGATTTCATTGGGGGTTGGTGTGTGCACTAGCTAGGACATAGTAAGATTGGTTGGCCAGCCTTACATCCCTTGCAGCTAAAACCACCACCAGAACCAGTCACCTGGTGAGGAAGCCCAAGGAATTATATGAGCTGGCACTCAGCAACAATTTGTGATGGAAGATGGAATAATCCAAAATAGTATTGTTTATACTGAACTGCAGCAATTGTTGATAGGAACCTACCTGAACCCTCAGATCTTCATCCCAGGTCTCTCTCCAGATCGCTCCTCTGAGGATGCTCTTCCCAGTGGGGTCTGCCTGGCACCTTCACCGACATCTTTTTGGAACCAGCCATAAACTTACCTTTCCCCCAGGCCTTTGCTGGGCTGAGTTATGTTTTATTGTTAGTGTAGAATCAAAGCTTTCTGTTGTTGGGAGGGATTGCTATAAATTTATTAAAAAGTTCCTTTCATGGTATAATGTATTTTTCTTTATGTTTATAAATGCATGTCATTTGGAGACCTTTCTAGGTAACAAGCAAGTAATGAATTTTTGCTGACGTTACAATTTTTAACTATAATTCAAATTACTGGTTAGATGTGCTGATTTACCATATCAGCCAATCACTCTTCTGAATAATACCTCTCCCAACCCTCTCACTATATATAAAGATCTGGCGACTTCTGTTTCAGTGTATCTGAAGAAGTGTGCATGCACACAAAAGCTCATACCAATAACAAAGTTGGTTGGACTCTAAAGTGCTACTGGAAGGAAATTTTTTTATTTTGTTTCGACTACGGCAGACCAACACGGCTACCTACCTGCAACTGTAACAAAACTAGGTCAGCATTTACAACGCCCGCAAAGCATTAAGGGATTTAGTAGCGATCCTTTCCTCACCCAGCACATCTAACCAGTAATCTGAATTATAGTTAAACTTGACTTACATCAGCTGCACTGCAGTCTGTATTCACCCCTCCCTTCAAGCAGTGAGTTTAAGATTACCTTTCATTCACCATCTCCTCCTCCAACCAGCACCACATTCCAAGCCTTTTTCGAGACTCCCCCAACCTTCAGGAGATGTCCTTTTTTGCGGGATGAGGGGCAATGAATGTGGCAGTGGAGAGAGGGGATGGAAAAATTTCCCTTGGGCAACTGCTGCTTTGGATGCAACCCAGTGTGTGTATTTTATTTGGCTGGCTAATGTTAAATAAGCAGAAAAATATTTCATAAAGGAAATATGTATGGACACAGCTGGGTCAAATCAATGATAAAGAATTCTGAAGGGAAACAAGTACATAATGTTGACTGCATGGTCTGAATATTTCCTGGAGAACAAAGTTGTTCAGTATGTAATTCTGTCACTTTAAAAAAATACAGCAAAGTTGTGCATCCTGTAAAATTTGGACAAGGTGCTTGGCAAACAATATAAAAAAATTCAGCCATGGCTTCCTATAAGCTTTGGAATACAAAGCCCTGTTACTTGTAAAGAAATAGTCAAGCTGGAAAAGACCACCATAAATATTTTCTCTTATATTTCCGTTCTCTTAAAAAGAAAAAAATTAGACTGCCTGACATTTCTGCCTATATTAAAAAGAACCAGGAGTGGCTTCAAAACAACTTAAAATTGTAAGTAAAACACTTCTGTATGATAAATTTTATATTTGACTTCCTTGTTTGTTTCCTTGCAATGTTTTCTTTTGAAATGTTTAAAGGTATATATATATATATGTTGTATAAGGTATATATAATATGCTGTGTTATATGTACATTCTGTAGTTGACCTCTTTTGTAACATTTTATTTTGAAATCTTTAAGATAATATTTAGTTTCCTGTTAAGTATGTTGCTTTGAATGCATACTTTATATTTCTTTAGCTGTAAAAAGCTTTGAGATTTTTTCTTAAAAATATAAATGGTATAGAATATAATATATTCATTTAATTTCTATACTGCTTTATATTTAGTAGTGAGGTCCTAATGAGTTAATATGAAAATGATTCTATGAATCTCTGAGTTGTGCCCCCCATAATACATTTTTCTTCTTAGTTATATTTTTCAAGATTGATTACAGTAAAACTGCATTTAAAATGATTTAGGATTTCAAAATGATTGTTTTGCTTTGTTATTTTACTTGGTGTAAGATGCCTTGTAGGTCCATTAGATCCAAAGAACCAAAGACAATATAAAGTTAATAAGAGCTATCTGAAAAATAATAGTCCTGGGTGCTGTACAGAACATTCTGAAATTTGTCACTATCCCTTTGACATTTGAATGAGCACACATACACATGGGAGGGCAGGTACGTCTTTTAATGCCTTAGCTTTGGGTTTTTCAAAAATGAGCACAGGGTTTTTTTATGTTGTAGTAATACATCTTTTATATGTACAATGCTGCAACTGTATCGGTAATAAATGACATTAATGATACTTTTTATAACTCAACATGGTGTATTTATAAAATGAATTTATCAAAATACACTTTGCACTAGATAATAAATAAAGTCCAGCCAAACCAACCCACTCAAAGTTAAAATTAACTTTGGTCGGTTCAAATGTGGTATACAGTTCATGAGTTCTATGCTTACTCCTTTACCCTGCTCTTCCCCCCCAGTGATGCTCATATTTTGGGCTAAGGAAACACTTGTTTTTCCAGCTGAAATTTCTCATTCCACATCATCTTCAGCCAAGCACTGTGCACTTACAATTCTCTGTAAAAGAAAATATTTGAATCATCTTAGAGTAATAAGACTCTCTCATCAGGTGAATTACAGAATGAGTTGAACCTGCAAAATTAAATTTAGATTCTCCCTCTTCTGTGAAAATCAACATTAGTAAGAAAACAGCAGGTAAACAGCAAGTGCAGCAAGGATCTAATAAGCTTCCTAATCAAAATACAGTATTTATTAAAATGAAATTGTGCAATATTTGGCCAAGCAAACATCAACCAAACTTGATGCACCTGGGATCCAGTAATTAAACTTGCATCTATTGCTGCTGTTAATATTTTACTCCACTTGCTTTAGTTAGCTTGAAATTAACTAAATGAAACAAATACCAAGAAATCTTGGTTATGCAGGTCTCTTATGTTAAGCCAGAATGAAAACACTGAAAAAGCCCTTTAGCAGTTATAGTGTGGCCCATTTTCCAAATTCTGATTGAAGCTGCAAGCTCTTAAGAACCCCAGGTCTGATTTGTTTTTGTTTGTTTTTAACTCAAGTTTTAGATCTGTCAGAAATGTGGGTGAAATCAAGAGGTGTCCATTTGCCAGTGGAAGCAACATCCAGCCATGCTATGGGAGTCCACTTCCTGTCCTCTGCAACCGAGTGCTGCCTAAAATATGCTCAAGAATGTTGGGGGACCCTCCAGAGTAGGTTGGGGGCATGGGGAAGAAAGAGGAAACCTGCTTGCATGGCATCTAATGTTACCCAGTGGTTTCCAAAAAAGGAACTCATGCGCAAATAAGGGTTTTTACTGCTCCTCATGGTGCCGCAACCACTTTTGGAACTCCTCTCTTTCAGGAATATCTTGTCCAATTCATACTTCCAGATATGCTCCCCTGAACAATATGGTTTGAACTAACCTCCTGAACAGATGGGGCTGTCAAAATGGTATAGGGAAAGTTCTATAGTGAAGAATCCATCACAAATGCTACCCTGCCCTTTATACCACCCGTTGTCAGCACTAGTATCAGGTGGCACTGACAATTAAAGCAAAACTGTACCACAGAACAGGGCTAACAAACATGGTGGCCTCCAGGAAATTGAACTAAAACTGTCATCAGTCCCACCAGAATAGCAAATGGTCAGATATGATGGGACATGAAGTTAAGGGCAAGCTCTGAACCCCAGTCATTTAGGATCTGGGAGCTGGGAGGACAGCTGCATCATGAACCAATTGAAGTTTACAGACAATCCTCAAAAGCGGCCTTTCACAGAACACATTATCAGAGGACATCCCGGGAGCTAGGAATATATAAAACTGCCAGATCATCTTTTCCCTTTAATTCTGAGTTATATGTGAGTTTGTTCAGACACAGTAAACCCTTCTTATTAAAGGGAAGCAAATAATTGCTCTTGCACATTGGAAATCTGCTTCAACCCTTTCAACAGGGTTGCATCAAACTGTGTTGTTCCACTCACAGAAGGCTCACTGATTCAATGAAAGCTTCTGTGAATGGAAAGCAGGAGATAGCTAATTCCCCCGCCTCCCTCTGCAACCCCCTTCCACGCTGCCCAGGAGATGGCCTGAAGGCAAAACGAGGCCGATAACTTGCTGAAGCTAAGCAGGTCTGGGCCTGGTCAGTGGCTGGATAGGAGACTGCCTGGGAACCACATGTGTGCCATCTTGGATTTCATAATGGAAGAAAGGCAGGATAGAAAATAAATTGCCCCCTGCTTCCATTCACAGAGGCATCAAAAGAGTTAACAGAAACACACTTCTGGATATAACCCAGAGTAGCTGCATATAGTAGGAATGAATGTTACGTGATTTGAGAGCTACAGTTGTTCTGACAAGCAGTCCTTGGTCTCATGGACAGCAAGCAAGCAGGCAGTAGGCACAATTGCCAGAAACACTGCTTGCATGAGCTGCTTGAGAAATCAGAATCGCGCCATAATATGAGTCAGGCAAAAACACCACCAGGTGCCTGCTTCTGTTCCCACTGGACTGATCCCCAGGGCCTTTTAACACCAATTGCCTTGTGGGATGCTAGTTCCTGCTCAAGTGGAGCTGTTTTGTTTCAAGTGCCCATTGTATCTTCTGAGCTGCTTTGAGGACTAGAGCTGAAAATGGGATGTATTTGCACTAAATGAAACAAAACAGAGCCACCACTTGCTCAATTCCAGTTAGAATATCTCCCTGATTTTAAAGCCAAGTCTACCAATGTGATGAATTAGGCAATTGTCTCAGTATCAGCAAAACCACCAAAAACTATTTGTAAAGTTGCAATCCTGAGCGCACTTTCTTGGGAGCAGCAACGCTGTTAAATATCAGTGGGAACAAACATGCACAGGAGCAGGCAAACAATGTTGATTGCGACTACTCCTATTTCAAAGCACAAAAAGGAGGGCAAAAACCAGCTTTCCATACCTGGCTAATTGTGGGGAGTTTAGTGAGAAGCATCTGGAACACTGGTGGTGGAAGCGTCTGCTGCAGAACTTGTAGTAACTGCTGCGGTTGTCCACACACAGCAATGGCATTCGTCAAGTGATCAACACCCTTTTCATATTCTCCTGTAAAATATAAAGCATGTTAAATTGGCAATCATTACCTTTGCACTTTCAGGCTTCATTTGTCACTCATCTTCAGTTAATAGAAAATCTTACTGTATATCCAAGGGAATTTAAGTTAATTTACCAACATTTTATTCCCAGATGCCATTTTTAAATAGAAAATAAAATAGAAATAATTCCTAACTACCCTTCAGACGATATTTGGGTTGTTTGGATGGCTTAGTATTCCAGAACCGAGAAGGATTTCTGGTCAAGGTACTCATTAAAACTACAATAGTTTTTTCAAGTAAATGAAGGACAGTAAACCTCAATTTGCCGACTGATAACAAAATACATTATTGACTTGAGACTTTGAGAAAGGCAGAAATGCCCAATTTGACACCATTTCACGGAGTACTGGAATGGACACTACAACCAGAAAATTCCCAGGTAGATTTTTATCATTTATTATGTCATCCTTTTAAGATAGGGTGGTTGTGATGATAATGTAATCATGGTAAGAAATTTCTGACTTTTAACAAAGCAATTTTAAATATGACTTGTCTTTGGCAGCCTGGATCAGGGTAGCAATGTAGCTCCAGATGTTACTGACTCCAATGCCCATCATCCCTGACCACTGGCTGTGCTGGCTGGGGCTTAAATGAGTTGCAGTCCACACATCTGGCCAGAACATTGGTGATTCCCAGTCTGGATAGGGTATTAAATCTGTACAGTGGTATCTCTGGTTGCGGACGGGATCCATTCCGGAGCTCCAGTGGATCCTGAGGTTTCTGCAACCGGAGGGGCCACTTCTGCACATGTGGTGAAACCCGGAAAAATACTTCTGGGTTTGCCACATATGTATCCCGAAGGATACGTAACCGGAGGTGAATATAAGTAGAGGTTCCACTGTATTAGATTTACATGACATGACAGTTCAGATGTGCTATCTTGTTAAACAATGGCTATATCTGGATGATGATATCTAGGCTTATTAAGCTGAGATATAAACAAATCTCACTGCCTTGCACATAGCCACTTCACATGCATACAAACCAGGAAGCCCTCAGTTAACTATTGTTTCCAATTATGTTCCATTTCAAAAATTAACATTATTTGAACTGTAATATCTTTTACTCCCCCATTCCCTCACATTTGTAAAAATTTCAACAACCTTGTGCTAGTAGTTCCTCGCCCAGCTGTATCTCTTCAAGGAAGAACTTTTGAACAGCTTCAGCATCTTTTAGATCAGGCAGCTGTAACAATGACATTTATGCAATCAGCCGTTTATGTCACAACATCCCGTTCCTCACATATGCTTTTAAATACAGTACTTAAGAGCATTCTAGTAGGGGTTTTTTTAAAGTTAGGTTTTTAAGCATTGGCAAGATGCCTGAACTCCTGAGATCACCTCCATATCAGCATTTGCTACAGAACTGAGCCACACTCTGTGAAACTTCTTTCCATGGAAATAATTAATTTAGACATATATCCATGGAAGGGGGGCTATGGAAAGTGCTTTCCCCAGCCCCTCAACACTCCCCCCTCAAAAAAGCAGTCTTCTGAGGGTCAGTAATTCTCCTGAATTGCCTATGATTTGGGGAGCAAGGGTGACTGCTAGAAAACATGAAATACATTTTCGGTGAGTGGTGCAGGAAATTATCTGGATTCAAGTTGACTAACATAGATTTTAAAAAAGCTGTTAGTACAGACAGCAACCATTTTACATGTCCAATTATCACACAATCACGCACAATTGCTGCCAACCCAGAAGTGGCCCCAAAATGGCGTGGAATGGGGCAGGCTTATGTGTGCTTTGTTGATGCGTGTGGGGGTCAGGAACAGAACCCTTGGGCAAAATGGTCACTGCCTGTATGATAATTTCAAGCCAAAATCCAGTTTGAAATGAATTCTGTACACCATGTATAATGTACCACAACTAAAACTGAACTCAAGACAAGGTATCAATACCTTTGAAAGTCCTGCTCTTTCTTTGGCGAGTTTCTGCTTCTTCCGTCCTATGAATTAAACACACCACGCATTTTCAGTTTCTATATTTTGGTAATCTACTGAAAAAAGGATATATTGATCTTTGAATCACAATACTATTTGCACTCCAAACTGACGTGGGGGGAAGAACAACACTTGGACATTTTGAAATATCATATAAAAAGAAAACATAATATAGCTAGGGGTCCATATTTGGATAAGCAACCATCTACAAAGGCCTGTATATAGAGAATTATTTATTAAGAACTTATGCAAAATTACATCTTATACTTCCTGGAAACACACTTCCTAGGATAAAACTATTTCCCCCTGAGCTCACTGCAGGCTCTATACAGTAGGAGGACCACTGCGACCAAGAGTGGAGGTAACATTTTAATAACTGTGAGAAGCCCTACCACCTAGTGGCATAATTAAATACAATGTTGCCTTGAAGGACACTTCTGGGGTGGGGGAGCTATTCTGCCTCAATTTGTCACATGAATGGCAGGAATACTGAACAGCTACAGAGAAACAGTTAACATACCACATGTCCCAACATCACTTGACTGCCCCATCACCCAGAGACTAGTTAACTGCTTCCTATTGCATTATCATGCTCTACTGTAAACCGTACTGGAAGAAAATGTTATCAAGAAGTGAAGACAAAGCACAAAATATTTATATTGTTTGTATAAATCCCTGAAAAAATTGAGCACAGAAAAGCTACCACCTCAATTCTGAGAACATGTTTCACAATTTGACACTTAAAACAGTTTCTGTGAGCGTATGTTTTAAGGAAGAATGATCACGTTAAAAAATGTGAGTTTTTTATTGAAGAGGTGAAATAATGCAGAAGTACGAGAGAACGTTCTGCATTTTGGATAACTCTACATTTTTCTCTTGCATCCATCCTTATCCTGGAAGTTATAACAGCAACAGTACCAGGAGGGTTTGAGAATGCGTAACAGTATAGTAAGTACCTAAGAAGTCAAGTTAACTTTACAAAATTCGTTCCCCCACTCCCTGTAAGTCCACTTCCTCCATCTGGGCTCCTTGGAGGCTTCATCACCTTTCAGGGGGTACTTGTGTAATAGGGGACTTTGAACTCTCTAGGATTCTAAATCACATGGGAAGTCTACATGAGTAGAAAAGGCTGCATATGTTCACTTTACAACACCTGAAAGGTGACAAACCCAATCACAGTGTGAGACGGATGAACATGGGACAAAATAACCTAGGTGGGCTTTAGTCATTTTTCCATGCAGGAGGAAAAATCTCAACAGCTTGATTAAGATAGTTAAGTTTTTGGAAACCTGTGCAAAACAAAGTATCAAAAATGCAACAAGGTTTCTGCACTCCCAGGGACCCTTCTCAAAACACGTGGCAGGAAACACGATATACATCACCATGCATTTCCACCGCAGAATGCCAATCCCAAATTCCAGGAGGATTCATGCAGCAGTGAGCATGTGTTTGCTGCACACACACACACACACGGTTTCTGCGTGCATCCAGTAAAAGACGCACACTAGGTGGGTCCTAACAGCGTGTGAAGCGATCCTCATCCAAACACCTGCAGCCTGTGACCTTTGAAATGAAGGCGAGCATGGCGATGCAAGATAGCAAGGGGAAGAAGGTCGCCCACGCCAGAGGCATGCCTAAGTTGGGAGGCCTGGTTTTGCTTTGTCCTCGGGGCCACCGCAAAATCCCCGCGCCCGCTCATGGCGAAGGAACCGCAGCCTCGGAAGCAGCGGGGCTTCCCCGGAGGGCCACCCTCCCAGGCCCGGCCGCCAATGGAGCGGGGGGCGGAGAGGGGGGCCGGTCGGAGGGGCGACCCAGGGCCGGCTCCGCGCGGGGTGGGGAAGCGGCTGCAGGAGGAGGCGGGCGGCCGAGAGCGACTCACGTTCCCGCAGCCGGTTCTTGAAGTTGGGGTCGCTCCTCCTCTTGCGGTCGAAGTAGATGCAGTAGCCGATGAAGAGAGCCCCGCAGAGGCCCGCGGCGATGGCGCTGCTCTTTCCCCCCATCATCCTGCCTGCCCAGCCCGCCTCGTACTTCACAGCCACCTTGGAGCCAGCAGAAGAGGAAGACCCCGCCCACCGCGGCTCCTCTCGCTCACATACACACACGCTACCTTCGGCGGGCGGATCGCGTCATCAGCCAGCGACCGCGAGCCGAGCGCATGGGCAGGAAAGCGAGCCGTTTCCCAGCGGCACTGCGCACGCGCCCATCGCTTTCTGCGGGAGGGCGGCGCATGCGTGGTGGGTTCGCGCGGGATTCTTCCTCCCCCCGCCCCCTTAAACTATGTGGAAGGAGTCACGTCTGTTTTAGTGTCACCGGGAGTCCGTTTACTCTAAGCGTGTCCCAGGCTAACCTCTGCGTAAGGGTGTCGCGAGCTCGCTGCGTTTAACCCGCCGCAGAGGCTCTTACGTTGCAGGCATAAAACTGCTAGGATACAGTACTAGCAAATCTTGTGGGATCAGCACTGCTTCAGTTTCCATGCAATATGTTTGATGGTTGGTACAGATAATTCCCCAGTAGTTTCCTGTGCTAGATCGTCTTCAAAGAAGGCAAGCAGGTCGTCTTCAAAGAAACAGATGGCTTAATCAAAGTTTACTTATATTAGACAAATGCCTCTTAAATTTTGTTAATCAACACTCATTTCCCCTATAACCTGTCACTGAACTGACGAAAATCACAAATAAATTGTTTACATGTATCAGCCAGGTCAGGTGGCAACCTGGGAGTCAGTTTGGGTTCATAAACCAAGTCTATCAAAGAAGTCTGTTCTGTACACAACCCCACAAAAATCCATGGATTAGCATGGCCTAAGTTTTCTCCTGACTAGATGCTACATGACTTTTTTGGATACCCGCTGCAAAGATAATGATATAAATTAAAAACTGATCCTTTTCCCTTGTGGGGTACCCAAGAGCCCCATATAAAGTCCTTTTCTGTAGGTTCTCTATTCAGTAGGAGAAATACCAGGGCAACCAGAGAATATTGAGAAAAAAGGGCCCCAAAAAGCAAAAAAAGGGGCTTAAGTTTTTTTTAAAGGGCCCCCCTTAAATTCTTTAGTTAACTGTTGCAACAGGCTGCTCCCCCACACACAGGAGAGAGGAGGACCCGCGAGCCGATACACGCAAGCCCTTATTACACCGTAGATGTTTTTATTTTGCCACCGCTGGAGATCCAAGATCACCCCCAGAATACATCAGAAACCTGAGTGCATTGTTTCTCCTGTTCTTGGCAAGTTACGCTGATTTCATTATCTGGGTTTTGGCCTACACTTTTGTTATTATAAACTACTTAATTCCTGAATCTAGTTAATAGATTCACAGGCTCACACCCTGTTCTTATCTTGAATGTGCCCTTAAGACAGGATTTGTGAGGAAAGAGACAATGGGGAGGTTTTCCACTTTGACCTTGCAGAGAAATATGAGGTCAATTTGTTCAGGACCTTTTTTGTGCGGGGTTCAGACGTGGTTTATATATATAGTTATAAATAAATAAATAAATAAATAAGTTTTAAGGTCATATATATGACCTTAAAATTCTTATAACAACAACAATACAACAGGAACAGTTGCAAATTTGAAATACAGGAATGAATATGCATTCTCTTTAAAAGTATTTTCATCAATTGGTTCAAATACGGGAAATCTTTTTTTTAAAAAAAATCTCCAGAAGCAGGAACATTTAAACTTGGACATGGAGATGCAATTTGATAATGTGGTGATTTTCAGCTTAAAAGTATTGTTATGAGTTTTGGGGGGTGGAAGTAGGCTAGATGCAGAGACCCTTATAATTCTTGGATCCAGCAAGGGCTAAAATCTAAGGAAGGATTTAAATTCCTGGAATAGCCAGGCTAGCTTCCTGGTTTGATAATGGCCCTCTAAATAAGTGGCTCAGCACCAGAGGACAAATAGGTGGGTCTTCTTCCTCCTGCAGGGACCCAGGTGGCGCTGTGGGTTAAACCACAGAGCCTAGGACTTGCCGATCAGAAGTCGGCAATTCGAATCCCTGCGATGGGGTGAGCTCCCGTCAACCCAGCAGTTCAAAAGCACAAAGTGCAAGTAGATAAATAAGTATCGCTACAGCGGGAAGGTAAACGGCGTTTCTGTGCGCTGCTCTGGTTTGCCAGAAGCGGCTTAGTCATGCTGGCCACATGACCCGGAAGCTGTCTGCGGACAAACGCCGGCTCCCTTGGCCAATAAAGCGAGATGAGTGCCGCAACCCCAGAGTCGGTCATGACTGGACCTAATGGTCAGGGGTCCCTTTACCTTTACCTTCCTCCTGCAGGGGTGGGAGGCATCAAATGTTGCCAAAGGCCACCCAAAAAGGCCTTGAGGACAGCGGATTACCTTGAGCTAGAAGCTGGAAGACTCTCTTGGGGTGTTAATGCTGTGAACCCCTCCATTGTAGGCTCGTGGTATATATGTGTAAACAGACCATATATCATGAATACACCTTAGTCACCACTGTAAATCTTTCCAATGGAAACACGAACCCCTGAAATCTTACACTGCTCGGAGATTGGGGTGGTGTGCAACAGTATACTGCTGAAGGTTTGGAAACAAATATAATGTAACAGTAGGAAGGACAATCACTAGTAAAAACAGGTTTGTAAATGATCAAATGCTTGTGGTTAGCAAATCTTCTTTAAGTAAACTTTACTGGAGTAGACTGTCTCTTTCCCTTTTAGACCCCAAATCACTACATAGTGAGTGGAGACGGGCTAGTAGAATTGTTATGTGTTGAACTTTCTTAGTGTGACTTCTCTTGTTAATATTATGAATTAATCCAGCCTAATTTCTAAACTCAAACTCTGGAGACAGAATATGCAGAACTCCCAAATGACTAGGAAATAAAATTTATTTAAAAATACAATTCAAAACTTGCAGCATAACTATTTCAAATGGATTTTCTCGGTTTCTTCTTCATTATGTGTTTTGACTTGGTTTTTTTGCTCTTTGTCATTGGGGTTGCTTTTTCACCAGCAAAAGAGTGACTCGATAATCCTTTTGCATTTTTCAGTGAAGAAGACTTTGAATACTTCAGTCCATCAGGGCTCTTTACATTCTTGAGTAAACTCTTCTGTGGAGCTTTTTCTTTTTGCACACAGTGTTGCACTCGTAGCTTTCTTCCTTTCAGTTCAGAGTTGTTTAGCTTCAGTGCAAGGTGTACAGAATCTGTAGTCTTTAAGGAAAATAAAGGGCAACATCTAAAATTAGGCATTCATCTTACATCTTAGTAACTAATATTTATTTTCCTTTCAGAAAAATTCACAAAAATAAAAAGCCAATTTGCAACATAATCAATAAACAATAAAACAAAAATATTTAAAGCAGCTAAATTAAAAGGGGGGGTTGGTTTTTTAAAAAAAATCATGCCAGCACATCTACTTTAAAACAAGGAAATACAGGTCTACCCCAAATGCACAGTAAACAGAAGCAACATAGCCACTGGAAAGCTATCCAATTGCCTACAATTTTCTTCTTTCACATTAAACTATTATTTGGAGCATGAAATGGATGCAAATTTTCCTGCTTGCAAACACATCAAGTATGAGCAAGTCTGTGCTGCAAACAAGGTTTCCTACTTCAACTTTCTTCCTTTAATCCCGCCCCCCATGAACATGTCACTGAAAAATTAAATATAGATGGCCCAGCACATCAGCTTGGGAGTGTGTTGAAAAATACTGACTCTGTGAAGGTGTTAGAAGTGAGACAGAGTAAAGACACCATATGCTAGCAGCAGGATTTGAATGTTGTTGTCTCCCTCTGCAATCTTAACCCCAATTCAGTAGGACTTGCTTCTGAATAAGACAGATGAGGACTGAGCTTTTAGTTCTTATGAGAACAATTCTATTTGCTTGGCTACAAATTCAATTATAGATATTTCAGAGCAGAGAGGTGATACTCGGCAAAACTTAGGAATCAAGTTGCATGAGACTGCTTGCTTTGAACTGTGTTTTCAATTCTGTAGAAGTTAATGCATGATAACTGGTGCCTTCCCTACGCCAGGGATTGGGAACCTGTGGGGCTTTGGACTCCAACTCCCAAAATCTCCAGTCAGCACAGTCAGTTGTCACAGATGACAGGTCCCCAACGCTGCACCATTCAGTTGTAGAGGTGTCTAGCTATGATGTCACCCTCAGTGGAATTGGCAGCAATTTCTATCAACTCCTTAGAAGGTGCATCATTGTAACTGCCATAACAGTTTTAATGTTGCTAACAGCTGGGCATATGACACCAGATACCCTTCAGTCAGTGTTAATACAATGTTAAGTTTCTTCCATCACAGATTCTGAATAGCTATTGACGTACCTCAAACAGAACGTAACCAAAACCTTTGCCAATGCCTGTGCTCCGATCTCTCACAATTCGTACACTGATTACATTTCCACATTCAGAGAAATGGTCTCTTACTGTATCATCATCAATTTCTGTAAGCAAACATTTTTTTAAAAAGTATGGTGTTAAAATAGTTTTAGGTATGTGCCAAAAATTCAAAATATTTTCATTTAAGATTTAAATGTAGGACTTTTTACTACCAGCAACAACTACTTTAATGTGAACTGTTGCAGTACATCTATTTCTGTTAAGCTGTAACAATACATCACGTGCACCATCTGTTTGTGACAAAACAAATTATTATTGATATATCTGAAAGCAGCTTTTAAAAATGAGTATACATTTATATTAAAAGCTTTCTAGATGCAGTCTAAATCTTTTATAGTCTGCAAAAGCTACAAAAAGAATGTATTTCATAAGGATGTCTGAAACTGTCATTTTTCTGCAAGAGAATTCTACATAGATTTGAAAAGAAGAGTGTAAAATTTCACCTAACACTTACCATAAGGGAGATTTCCCACAAAAATAGATCTCTTGTTATCGTGCTGTAAAACAAGTGAACAAGAAGAATTGAATCAACAGTCTAAGGAAGCAGCTTGGGGCGGGGAGTTTCTTCCTACAGCAACTGAATTACTTACACATGCAGATTTTGAAGCAAGGTCAACTCTTATGTGGAATCCACTGGTAAATTCTGTTCCATTACTATTAAAGCCACAACAGGAAAAAATAATCAGGAAAAAAACAGTCAGCTACCTTCCTAGTTTGCACAGTGTGTTACTTCAGAAAAGGTATTTACAATTTAGGATATGTTTTTGTTAAGGTTTATTTGATTAAATGCATGTCATAATACTTTATAAAATCCAGCATCAAGTATTCTTTTTTAAAAATACCATTTTAAGGCGTTATTGGCTGCACATTCCTCCTTGAAAACGACATAAGCATTAATGTACTTCATATTAGGATGCACCATTCGCCTGAAGGAAAAAAAACTGAGTTTACTATACATTTAATTACAAATTACATATATACATTTGAAAGCTGAATGGATGGCTTTAGAACAGGGGTGGGGAAACTGTGGCCCTCCAGTTGTTGTTGAACTACAACTCCCATCCTCTTTTGAATTTGAGTCCAACAACATTTGGAGAGCCAAAGGTTCTCTACCCCTGCTTTAGAATATATTGCACAATCCTCAGCATATTTGCTAAGACACAAATTCCACTGAATTCAATGGCACTTAGCAAACATTTTAAGGAACTGCCTAGTTGTATACGTTCTTGATCCAAAATACACAGGATCAGTCTCTCCTGATATTTCTTCATCAGTACAAAACTGTAAGATAATTTTGCTGGAATGAGAGACTTCCTGCCCTGTTGGGAAGCATCTTAAGGAGTCTTCATTTGACTAAAAAATGCACTAGTTTGGCAGAATGGATGTTGAAATCAATCAGCAACAGCAAGAAATTGGGTAGAAAAATAATTTCTACCTTTTCCAGGTAGGAAGTTGGACGTGGCTTTATTATGCCACACCTATAGCACAAAGTACTACTCACTGCTCTACCATTTATACCAATCAACACAATGAATGACAGAATAACATCAGTTCCCAATTTGTTCCAGAACAGTAGAAAGAACCCCTGGTCTTTAGCAAACCTACTGAATGTATTTATTTTGAAAATAACAACAATTAACAAAATTTAACTGTTAAAAAGAAAAAAAAAGATTAAATGAAAATGTGTAGAGTTTCCCCATTCTAAAAATTAAACACATTTTATAAAAAAATATTTAAAAATTATAACTTACTTTATGGCTGCCATTTTTTTGGATACAGTAGCCTCAGCTGGAATCTGGAAAGGGAAGGGGGGAAAGTGGTGCATTAGTTGGTAGGTGTTGTTCCGTTATCATATCACATTATGAACTCAACACCACACTAGATCCTTCCCTAATCTCTTGCTGGAGGAAGGACATGGGTTTCTGAGGTCATGTTGATGCACTTCCTGCTAGCTACGAAGCCCAGCACCATTTGGAAGAGTGTAGATAGAGAACTTGGGAGGATGTGTGCTAACTAGAAATTATTCCTTGGCTAAGCCAAGCCAAAACTGGTTTACACTGGGTAAAATGCTTTTCTGCTCCTATCCTGCCATATCCCCCTCACCTCCTTTGCTTCTCCAGCTTTACTTCTTCCAAATGGCAGCACCATCGCAGCTGCCTGTTGTGGCCATTTAATACTGGAACAAACAGTAGGTAGGTAACAAGGAAAAACCAGCATCTTTTCTACTGTGACAAATTGCCAGCCACCAAACTAACCCTTTTGCCACGGAAGCTGTATGAGAACGAAGTAGCAATAGCTCATGGGTAAAAGTAGAAGGAGCCACTACTTTCCCCACATACAGCACAATTTTGCTCTTGCCCAGAGACTCTCTCCCCATGAAGATACATGCAGTTAATGTTATAAAAATCAACAACCAAACAAAACATACCAAAGAGCGGAAACGAACTGATTCAATTTGCCCATATTCTTTGAAAAACGTCTTCAGCATCTAGATTGAAACAAGCATACGGTGTAATTTGTCAGAGCAAATGTGAGCAAAAATAATAAGCACTGCTCATGGTATTAAGGACAAGAAGTACAACATCTTCTTTAAAAAATGGGGGGGGGGTAGTAAAACACAGAACTGGGAAATCTGGTTTATCTGTAACTGAATTATATAATCTTCAGTTAGGTCAAAGAAGCACAGAAAAATATATGGTGCTAAAACTGCTATAAGGATAAAAAATGGGGGCATGGAGATACCATATGTGACAACAAACTCCTGAACACTTGCTATACTGGGGACCATAACTCCTCTGCCCACATACTACAAACTTACCTGTGCCTTACAACTAACAGGTAAATTGCCCACAAAAATAGTTCTTTTATTCTTTAGCATTTCCTCAGCCAGGTTAACTTGTGTTTTCTTTTGTTTCAGTCCAGCATCTTCATCTGAAAGCTTTTGGGAAACCAATTTAGAACGTCTATTTTTCAGTTTTTGTTTAATTTGTATTTCTTTTTTCTCCTCCTCTTCATCTGCTACATCCAAAGCACATTCCCTTGATAAACCATGAAAAAGTACAACAACTTTGTTAGCAGGTGTTTTTTAATAGTCACAAAAAATCTATATTTTAGCTCTACTTATCCACTGTCTGGGGAAGCGGTAGGTGGGGTGGGGGGAACGGACAACATTGCTAGAGAAACTGACAACAATGATACTGAAAACACTGTCACTCAAGCAACAAGCAGTCAACAAACCTTAGTGGGGCTGAGCGTGAAATAAATGAAAGCTACATTCTTACATGCTTATAAGGGAGTAAATCACGCTGAACTGTATGGACTAAATGAAACTTGCTTCTGAGTAGATATGCATACAATTTATACTCTAAGAGCCAGTACGTATTTCACATGCTTATGCTGCAATTCTGTGCATATTGACCTGAGAGTAAGCCCAACTGAACTCAGTTGGGTTTAATTCTGAAGGAACATGCATAGTTTTGTTCTATTAATCATTGCTGGCCTTCAAATTGTTTTAATCTAAGACAGCATACCTTTACTTCTACAACAGTGCCATTCTATAAAATGTACACTGCTCAACGAGAAAACCCAAAATTTATTATGTGCCTTAATTCACTCTATATTTCTAAATTCTGTCTCATTTCTAGGACCCAGAGAAGATGGTTTATATTAAGTGCTGCAAACTAAAACAAACAGTTTAGACTGTAATCCTAACCCTACCTATCTGGGAGTAAGTTCTATTGAATTTGGTAAGACTTACTAATGGTCTTCAAGTCAGACGACGGGGGAGTGAGGACAGGTGGTTGCCTTTAATAGATTGTTGTTGTTGTTTAGTCGTTTAGTTGTGTCCGACTCTTAGTGACTCCATGGACCAGAGCACGCCAAGCACTCCTGTCTTCCACGGCCTCCCACAGTTTGGTCACTCATGCTGGTAGCTTCGAGAACACTGTCCAACCATCTTGTCCTCTGTCTCCCCTTCTCCTTGTGCCCTGAACTTAATCAGTTTTAAAGTGTTTCACTTACCTGCTTGCTACTCTTTCCTCTGCAAGAGAGATATCCTTCTTTTTAGCTTTTAGCTTTTTTTTAAAAGGCTCTCCTTTACTAGACGAACTCTGAACTTCTGTGGCAGTTTCTTCTTCCGCAAGCTTCCGTTTCTTATATTCCTTTTAGAAAAGTGATTTTAAAGAATTAGTTAGAATGTGGTCATACAAGGGATTGGGGAAATACAAGGTCACCAGACAGCAATAAGATAATATGTACTTTGGGGACAACTTAAGTTTTATGATGCCCCCACCCCACTCCTTTATTCATGTTATTTTTATGTGAAAATATACCTTAAGCAACTTCTCACATGTGATTTCAGATACAGTGGTACCTTGGTTCTCAAACTTAATCTGTTCCGGGAGTCAGCTCAACTCCCAAAACCGTTCGAAAACCAAGGCACAGCTTTCGATTGGCTGCAGGAGCTTCCTGCACTCAATCGGAAGCCGCGGTGGATGTTCGGCTTCCAAAAAATGTTTGCAAACCGGAACACTCACTTCCAGGTTTGTGGCGTTCAGAAGCCAAGCCGTTCAAGTACCAAGTTACCACTGTATAAAATAATCTTGAGGACCTCACACTTTTGAGATGGTTTTTGTAATACTTTGCAATTTTAGAATGGGAGATAATTGCTCAGGGCACTCAAGCATAATACCTTGTTTTGTTATGTTGAAAAGTATTTTTAAACAGTAATTTTAAAAAGATACTGATGATTAGAATTAAACTGAATAAGGTGTAAAGGGCTTATTGACTCTCTTTTTAAGGTTTTTTTACTTCACACAAGGGTCATTTCATAAGTTGCATCTGTATAATCAGAGTCGATACTACATGGGCTAGTCCCATACTACAGAAGCCCCACAAGAAGCAGGTGAGTTGAGTTTATAATGCAGTTTCTACAAACATGAACTGTGCAGCACTGGACCAGCCTTAGTGAAAACAGATCTCATGCAACAACGGTGAAGTATTAATCAGGCCTCTACCAAAACTGAAAAACACAGTTATTTATTTTTAAAAGAAAATCCTATGTTGTTTTGATCGGTAATCACACAACCAACAAGACTGTATTGGGTGGGGGGGGATTTTCATCCGGTAATTGGGGGGGGGGATGAACATCTGGATAAAATTCTGCTTTCAGAAGCCCAATGTCACTTAGAGGCTCAGTCTATAATACTTGTTGGTGGCAAAGCACTCTGTTGATTCTTCTGTCAGAAAAAACACGAAGCATTACCAAGGACAGCTGACAAATATATTTTAAGAGCACCTTTAAGTTTCATAAGCTTTCAATGAAGGAACAATCATTAAAATATTTTATGGCACCCAAGACCTATCATGATGGCACAGCTGCTGTTTTTGAGAATCTAAAACGTATCAGCTGCTTGTTCCTCCACCCGCAACACCAAAAAGGATGTATAAACAGTTTCAAACAAGAACATAGTGTGAAAAATAAGGGTGCTATGACCATCCTTATGTTAACAAAATGATCTGTCATCTTCAGTGTCTGTAACATGAATGCAAACAACAGTCTCACAGCCTGGTTAAGGAGTTGAAATATGGAACTGTTAACAGTTAACATCTATAGTTTGCAGTCTTATTTAAGGGACGTCAAGCATTCCAAATGCTGGCATATTTCAGTACTGGGAACCGAACTCACATTTTGGGAATTACATAGGTAAAGAAATGTGCTTACTCTTGGCACAGCAACATACACTGGCTGTATTTCAGTCTCAGGAGCACTGAAGAGCTGGACCAGGGAACCTGTGCCACGTGCAGTGGGTTTATTTTGAAACAGACTGTTGGCCACTTGACCCACAACATAATCTTCCTTTGATACAGTGGCAGCATCTTTCTCACATGCTTTGCTATTAAAGAGATAAAGTTGGTCATCAGATCCCATTTAGTACTGTCCTATAAAGCATAAACTACAGGTAAAACAAACCAATAATCATGCAAAAAAAAAAAGCAGATTGTGCATGTCATTACTTTTGAAGAATTAGTACAATATGAGTGTTTCACTTGCTGTAAGTATACAGACAGAGAAGTCTCTGCACATATGTCTGCTACCTGAGCCAATGGGCCATGGACTTCTGGAAAAATAAACACATGGCACTTCACAAGCAACAGCCTGCAGTTTTTCCTACTTTTGCTTAGATGTTTCTACCTTGCCTTTCAATCTTACAAGATAATTTCCACAGCAGTTTTCCAATTAAAGGAAACTATAATGCAAAAATCATTGACTGCCAGGAGATAATCACTATGTAGGAGGAGAAAAACAAACAGGAGACAGTTCTGATTCTTGTATGATTACTTTTACATTGCCAGAAATCAATTTCAGGTATGCATTTGAGAGAAGGAGCAATTATACTGTCTTTCCAAAAATACTGCAAGTGGTTTGTCTCAAAATTATTTTTATAACAAAACTTTATTAAGTTATTTTGTTGTGTGATGTGACAAATATTAAATTTAAGGGGAACCAGTCTTGGTATATTAGGAAAGATTCATGCACCACTGCAGCTCATCTGCAGCTACAGGCAGGTCCTGCAGATGTCTGTGGGAAGGGGGTATTGTTTTGCTGTTTTGTTTTACTTAGTTACTTGCTTTTATTCTTTATTTTATTCTCTGAACTGCACTGAAATCTTATGATGAAGGGCGGTATATAAATCTAATAAATGAAATAAATAAATGTTAGAAAAATATTTGCCAAGAGTGAAAGGCTACAGAAGTGCATAAATCTTCCCTAGTGTACCAAGTTTGGTACCCCTTGAACTTAAAGCTTTGTCACATCACATAACAAAATAACTTTTTACAGTTTTGTTATTTAAAAAATAGCAAGTCAAACCACTTGCAATATATCCACCATACATACTCAGATTAATGTGTAGATTTAGCATTTTACTTCCTCTAGCTTAAAGTGCTAAAAGCCTTCTAAACTACACACTAACCTGAGTAAGTATGGCAAATTCCTTCATTTAACTATATTTAGGTAATTTATAGAAATCAGAAAAATCAAAACAAAGGCAGAAATGAACTACAGTAAGTCCACAATTTATGCACATTTAACTTGTGCACACTCAGCTTTACATGCATGCCAAAAAGATTTCTAAAAAATAAAAAGCGTGGTGGGGATCCAGGGAAAATTATTTTGGCAATCCCACCTGCCACTGAACCCAATGGGTTTATGATTATACACGATTTTAGCTTTAGGCACAATCTCCAGGAATATAACCCCCTCATAAGCTGCGGGCTTGCTGTAATACAATACCACAATTTAAATCTCCCACCACACACAATTAGAAGCTTGTACAATGGGTTACGCCCCCACACCCAAGGCCTGCATGTAGGTTTCCCATAAGTATCTGGCTAGCCACTGCCAGAACAGGATGCAGGACTTAGATGGCCCACTGGCCTGGCCTGATCCATCAGGCTCATCTTATTTTCTTAAATGCTACAGCAATATTATGTTTTGTTGATAAGAAGCAAGCTAACCATGCAGATGCTATAGGTGGTGTTCATTTTGAGAGACTCCGGTTGTGTATGTGTGTGTTTCTTTTAGTCAATCTTGGAGCCCAATCTTGCTTCTATGAGAACTTTGGGGGAAAACTACTGCACAGATACAAGGCTGCTCCCATAATCGACCCTCTGTGGTGCAATGGGTCAGTGTGTTTGGCTGTTAACCAGAAGGTTGGTGGTTTGAGCCAATCCTGGGACAGCAGTGAGCAGGAATCCTGCGTTGCAGGGGATTGGACTAAAGGACCCTCAGGGTGCCTTCCAGGGCTGGATTTAGGTTTGATGAGGCTCTAAGCTCATGGGGCCCTTTATATGTCCAGCTGTCCTTTGTCAACAACAAATTGTCGCTTTTTTTGTTGAATCTATGCTATATGGTAATTTATGGAGCTAATAGGTATCTAAAGCCACTTGCACATGCAGGATGTAGGCACCATATGTACAGAAATGAGCAAAACAGTGATATTTTAGGGAGCAGGCTAGTAGGCCTGGTTACTTACATCATAGGAGCCTACAGAACACAAAACACTGTTGCTGTATGTAGGTTTTATTTTATTTGTTTTTTCTCTTATATTTTGGAAATGTACATCCAGGTTTTTCTCCTTTAATTTTTTGGGGGGGCCCCAAGAGTGGGGTCCTAAGCTATTGTTCAGCTTATACCATTCTGTGACACAGGCTCTGCAGGGGACTGGGGCCACGAATCATGCCTATAGTGCCAAGTTAGGAAAGGGCATGTTTTTCAGCGCCGGCCACAAGACGTGAGGAGCCGTTACAAAGAAGAGGGCAACTCTGAGCATCCGCAGAGCACCTCCGCGCTTCTTGCAACCGGCATTCCCACATGTGGAGAAATCCCAAGGCGAAGGGCGTGACTTGAGCCCCGGCACCTCTAGGTATCAGAAGCTACACGTGCGCAGAAGTCTCGTCTGGAGGGTCGGCAGGCAAACGCAGCGGCAAGAGGGGATCAGAAGGGACCGCGACGGCGGGCGCCCAGGACTCCTCTAGCCCCCGAGGTGAGCGGGGGGGGGCATGGGAGCCGCGGGGCGGAGGGGAGAGAGGGCATAGCGCGGGCCGCGTTCCTCACCCGGTACCGGGGCGGAGCTTGGCCGCCTTGGACTGCTTCATCTTCCCCTTCGGACACGCTCCCACGATCGCCGCCGCTCGAGCCGCTTCCGCCCCCGCAGCGCCGCGTGAAGCTCAGAGGAACACTCGGACGTAAACTTCCGGTTCTTTTACGCCATTTTACTTCAGCCTCCCAGTAACGTGGGGCCCTCCAGCTGTTCTCGACTTCCGTCAAACCCAGCCAGTTTGCGGGGGGGCGGGATAGGAGATGCAGTTCAAAATACAGTGGTACCTCGGGTTCCATACGCTTCAGGTTACAGACTCTGTTAACCCAGAAACAGTGCTTCAGGTTAAGCACTTTGCTTCAGGATGAGAACAGAAATCGTGCTCCAGCGGCGCAGCAGCAGCGGGAGGCCCCATTAGCTAAAGTGGAGCTTCAGGTTAAGAATAGTTTCAGGTTAAGAACGGACCTCCAGAACGAATTAAGTACTTAACCCGAGGTACCACTGTATAAGGAGGACATCATTTAAGTGTGTGTTGTAAGAACATAAGGAAACATTACTATGTTGCTGAATTAAAGCAAAACAGGCCCGGCGCCCTGTTCTTCTCACTCTGGGAAGCCCGCAAGCAGAGCAGGAGCACGACAGCCCTCTCCCCCGCTTCTGACTCCCAAGCACGGAACAATGGGCTCTGCAAATGCTGCTGAACTACAAGTCCCATCACTCCTGGTCATTGGCTATGTGCACTGGGGGCTGATGGGAGTTCAACAGGATCTGGAGGGCCAGATCCAGGGCCAGCCTGGGACTAGCTTTCGAGTAAACTTGCATTGGATTGAACTGTGAAAAGAAGAGTGAGTCTGTACGGAAACCAATGGGGCACGAGCATGTAACTTTGGGTGTTGGATTTGGGCCGGGAAGGTGTGATTTCAGGAGGTTGGCCTTTGCTGCAACTTGAGGCGCGTTCGGAGGAGGGAGCTTTGACGGGAAATCCAAACCAGGCTCTAACCTGTACTATTTTTAATGTTTGGTTTTTTGTCGTGTTTTTAATGATCTGCTGGGAGAGGTGGGGTATAAATAATAAATTATTAGTATTATACTAAGATTGGACTACCTTGCAGGACTATTGTAAGCCGCTTTTTCCCAGCCACGGTTTCGTCAGTCCTAAAGTGCAAGATGGGTGCAATGAAGAACTGCATTGGTTCTGACACTAGCAGGACAATTTAATACAGTATACGAATTAGAAGGAGCTGCCACCTTTGTCACTACTTGCCGCTGTTTCTGTGTAGAGGCAGTGTTGTCCAGTCACAAAATCCCAATGGATAGACAAACATACGGTTTCCAGGGTAAACCTGGAAATTCTCTATCCAATTAATTAGATGGTTTTCTTCATAATTTCTTGTGCCTACAGCATGCTTCTGACCGGCAACCTCCAGCACTAATAAGCCCCGCCCATGTTACTTTTATTTCGTCTGCTTTTCCTCCGTAGTTTACCGTATTTTTCGCACCATAGGACACAGTTTTTCCGTCTTAAAAACTAAGGGGAAATGTGTGTGCGTCCTATGGAGCGAATGCAGGCTCCCTGGCTTCAGCGATAGCAAGGCAAAGCCTCCGAAGCCTGCGCTCCGGAGGCTTCCCGTTGCTTCCGCTGAAGCCAGGAGAGTCTGCTCTTTGAGGCTGGCGGGGGAAAAGCAGCGCTTCCCCCATCGCCAGCCCCAGAGGATGGGGGGCAGCAGGAAGGCGCGCAACGCCTTCCCACTACTCTCCAACCCTCCTGTGGGCTTTTGCGGGAGATGGGGGAATTCCCCAACCTCCCGCAAAAGCAGGCAAAAGCCGCGCGCTCTTTAAAGAGGCTCCGTGGCTTCTGCTGGCTTTTCTAGGAGGTGGGGGAATTCCCCCATCTCCCGCAAAAGCCCGCAGGAGCCGCGCACCCTTTAAAGAGCGAGCGGCTCTTGGGGGCTTTTCCCCAAGGAGGGAGAAGGGACTGACTGGCTGAGTCAGTCCCTTCTCCCTCCTGCGCGCTTTTGCGGGAGATGGGGGAATTCCCCCACCTCCCGCAAAAGCAGGCAAAAGCCGTGCGCTCTTTAAAGGGGCTGCGCGGCTTTGCTGGCTTTTCTAGGAGGTGGGGGGATTCCCCCATCTCCCGCAAAAGCCCGCAGGAGCCGCGCACCCTTTAAAGAGCGAGCGGCTCTTGGGGGCTTTTCCCCAAGGAGGGAGAAGGGACTGACTGGCTGAGTCAGTCCCTTCTCCCTCCTGCGCGCTTTTGCGGGAGATGGGGGAATTCCCCCACCTCCCGCAAAAGCAGGCAAAAGCCGTGCGCTCTTTAAAGGGGCTGCGCGGCTTTGCTGGCTTTTCTAGGAGGTGGGGGGATTCCCCCACCTCGCAGAAAAGCCTGCAAGAGCCGCGCAGCCTTTACAGAGCGCGCAGCTCTTGGGGGCTTTTCCCCAAGGAGGGAGAAGGGACTGACTGGCTGAGTCAGTCCCTTCTCCCTCCTGCGGGCTTTTGCGGGAGATGGGGGAATTCCCCCACCTCCCGCAAAAGCAGGGAGAAGGTCTTGGAGTAGCGCACAGGCTGCGTGCAGCCTGTCCACTGCTCCCAGAGCTGGGGGGGGGGGGGGGGAATCATATTTTTTCCTTGATTTCCCCCCCTGAAAACTAGGTGCGTCCTATGGTCCGGTGCGTCCAATCGTGCGAAAAATACGGTAATTCAAAGCAGTACCACACTTGCGCCCTCTGGACATAAACGGGAGGAAAAATCTCAGGGATAAGCAGTCTCCTCATCTCTGGGTTGGAGGTTTTCTCTTGTTCGCACGTCCCCTGCAGTCCATGATGCAAATAAAGTTTCTTTAGCTGTGCGCTGGCACAGTCCCTGTTTGACTTTCAGAACAGTACAAATCCGATGGTTAAAAGTCGACAGAATCCTGTGTTAGCTCTTGTCCTGCGAAAGTGGAAGCACTCCAAACCCCACCCAGCTGGCCCAGCCCATCTTGGTCTTCCCACCACTTCCTTCCTCAGGCTGGATTTTTAAAGGACGCTGTTACATCTGGTTAGTTATTTCATAAAATTTATACATTGCTTGATTGTAAAACAAAACCAAAAAACCCTCGAAGTGGTTTACAAAAGGACAATACAATAAAATTGAGAAAAAAATCACAACCCTACTTTACAACATACAGAACATTAAAATATTAAAACATTAAAATTACCTCAACTTTCTAAGCATCTGAGTAGACTTGTCTAAATAAAAATGTTTTTAGCAGGCACCAAAGAGAGACACATATTATTTGGCACCTGTAGCAGTGCCAATTCCACCAATTGAAACAGTCAAGTGGGCAGGTGTGGGTAAGGCGATCTTGTAGGTAATCACTTAACTGTCCAGGAGTCCTTAAATCATTTGAATAAATAAGCAAAAACTCTCTGTGTGGCTGTGAGCATGGTGAGGTGCTTAAAAGTGAAGGTAAGAAGTAACTTAAGAAAGTTATTTAAGGTAAGCAAGTGGTCAAACAGCTATGCAGGAGTGCTAAGTAGTGCATCAAGGGATTAAGACCAGAGAGTTCTGTTCCTTTCATCAATCTCTTCTTGCCATGGATGGATGTGTCTGAACTTGGGAGTATGTAGTTCAGACTACAGTATATGCGGTATTTTGCATCCGAGAGTAATCTACCAGTGTTCTACTTTCTGCTGCACAGAATAATGCATGAATCAGACTTTTGGCTATAGTAAGTAAAGCTTTTAAACTTAACAGTGTATGATTTGTTCATTGCAAGAGGGATAGGCAGAGTAACCAAGAACTGTAAGCAGACATGCAAAGCCTCACATTTTGAATCTAGGCGCCCAGCTGATTCCACACATAAATCAGATACATTTTCCTCCCACCAAAATAAATTCAGTTTCTGATGCTAGTAAGTCATATACTCTACAAAGTACGGTACATATACACTTGCTGTGGTAGGATTATAGAAGTTTTGTTGTTTAAGAGGAAAGCACAGATTTTCCCATTCATGCTTTTGAATCTTGTAATAGGTAGCACACCTCCCACCACCAATGAGGAAGGCTGTCTAAGCTCTGGTCATAATAGGGACTTAGCTGCAACATTAAAACTGGAAGCTGGAGAGGACACTCAGGTAAAAGCAGGCTGCTCCTGATTCCTTGTGTTGCAAAGAAACAATTACCGGTATCTGGAACTCACTCAGAGTCTGCAAGGGCTGCCAGTAGCTCCAGCACATCACCCTCAAGCTGGCTCTTGTCTTTAATTGTAGCATAATAGAAATCACTGGGTTAAACTGTTATTAAGCTACAAAAGCATTGGGGTGGCGGTGGTTTATCTCTTACGCCATGGGCTGTAATTAGGCCAGTGCAAGATGCAAGAGCACCATCCACTTGATGTAAACTTCTTAGCATAAGGAGTGATATATAGCCATGTCTGCAGTAATAGGCTTAAGACTTGAAATCTCCTGTGAAGTTAGGCTGAATTTTAAGGACTCGTTTTCAATAAAATACTATTCTTTGGGGGAAAATTTGAGTGCTTGATCCTCAATTTAACTTTTCACAGAATAGGGCATTTCTGCTTCCTCCTTCCTGCCGCAGCTCCAGAAAAGCCACCCATGGGAACTGGGGGACCTGCAGGCCCAGGCTGTGATGTGGTAGGGGAGCTGGTGGAAACGAGAGATACCCCCTGATGTTGCTTTGTTGTGATGACAACAAATCAAGTTTTTGACAGAACCTGAAGTTTAAAAACCAATCTTTTGACATAGTCATAGTGACTAAGTGGTGGCAGCACAGGCAGTCACTGGGTGACCTCACCCACAATGCCTCACTCTGAGGAAGGACCCCTTCCACCAAGTGAGGAATGGAGCAACAGGGCTGCCTCTGCTTTGTGGGCAGGCAGGCAGGCAGGCAGGCAGGCAGGCAGGCAGGCAGGGAGAAGGAAGGAGAAGTGGCTTTGTTGCTCAGCTAGTCAACTGTGGGTGACTGATCCCATGCCCTCACAGACAGAGGAGACACAGCGTTTTTTGTGAAGTCTAGGCAAAAGTTGGATAAAGTAGATTAAAAATTGATTATCTTCAGTTGTCATGTCTTTTACAAGAGGTGTCCCCCCAATTGACCATCAAATTAAAACTTATACTGAACTGTAAAATCACATATCCAGTACATGCTAGTGCTACTATGGCACAGAAATGTGGATCTTTGTAGATCTTTATGAGCATTACATAGGATGCCAACATCACCACCATTAAATCACAGAACACATATGGAAACAGAGTAATATGATTGGATGGTGTAAAAATCATGAGGATTGATCAAGACTTGTTTCTCATATGTTTTTGATAATAGTGGTGCTGAAAGTGGTGGTCTGCAATTTTTATGTTTCAATCCATGGAGATGTGATTTGATGGCAGGGCAGATCCCATATAAAAACTGTACAAGTTCAAGTGACTATATTATGGGATTCCATTTCTACCTGTGGGTGGGTGTCTTGTTGCTCCTCTTTTCTGATCATTGTGCCACCCTCCGATTGCTCCGTCCCCCTACCCCTGTTGCTCTGCTTTATCTCCTCTTCCTCCTAGCTTTCCTTTCTTCCCCTCTAGTCGCTTCATTTCTCCCCTTCCCCCGAGATCCCCATTTGAGTGGATACCATTTTAGGCTACCGGATAATATGATTAAGTTCACATTAGGCAATGCATTTTGGGGATTCTAATCTGCTGCCACCCAAGCAGAATGAGAACAGAGTGGCACCTACACAGGATTGCTGCCAGTGCCTGTTCGGGGGTGGGGGCAGTAAGAGCCTGGTGAGTCACACCACATGACTTTGTAACCACTGTAGTACATGAGGGCAGCACATGGCAAGGCGGGACACCTACTGTAGACCTATCTTCATAACCTTCTGACCCAACACTCTCATCCAACCCAGCACTCTTGTATCTGGCTTTAAACAGAAGGGTGCCAAGAAAAGCAAAGGTGACTGACATCAAGAGGATCTGTAATAATTAATTAAATGACAGCTCTTTATATACCACAATTGTAAACAGATGCAATTCACAAGTAACAGTTTAAGTTACACTTTCGGTGCCGGCTGTAAAATCTTCCTCGTTCTTCCAGGCCTTTCGAGTATCTTAGATGTATGGACCTGTGGATTAACATGATGACAGATGGATTGATTGTTTTCTGGTACTGAACTGCTTATTTATTAAAATATATATTCATTTAAAATCTCAAGACAATATGCAGTACTGTATTTTGTTTTATGTTCTTGCTTGTTTGATGCTTCTGCTGGGTTAATGTAAAACGTAACTTTAAAAGTTGTCACCTGCCTCAAAATGATCTATGATGAAGGGTGTGAGACAAATTCTACAAGTCAAGAACGCTTGCTGTGCTTCCGTTCTTGGGAGCTCTAAGGACTGGGCCCAGCCATAGGAGAACCTACAGCAAGTAGCCTCTCTGAACAAAACCATAACCAACAACTGTTCTGGAACATTATCAGTCCACTGAGGTAAAGAAGGTGTCAGCCTATTTTAACCATACTATGTTCTGATCAATGGTGTGCTGGGCGAGGGGACATTCCTAGGTGTACTGCACATGAAACAGCATTTTGTAGTGTGTTAGACATTTTTACAGAGTTAAAGATCCTGTTAGGTGCTGGTGTGAGTGAGTGCAACATCAGTGTCTGCAATGGAATCCAATGTTACCAACTCATAACCAAAACAGTAAATATTAGAGCCCATCAGATACTTAAAAGTTAAACTGCCCCAGCAAAAATGTCTCTGCCTGTGCCAGAGGGCCTGGAAGAGAGGTGTAGGTCTTCTCACTTCTGCTTTGCAAAGAGGATAAACAGTGAGAAGGACCCTGCTGTTTTTTTACCTTCTCCTAGCCACAGTGCACATGGGAGAAATTCTTGTTTCTCCTCCAAGCCTTCTGCATATGCCAAAGGAATTGGGAAAGCGGGTTTGATTGCAAGCACAAATAGTGGCTGCCTAGCAAGCCTCAACAAGATCTGTGGAATCTAATGCATCATCAATGACAATGGTACCAACATTGTAGATTAGATTAACTTGAAATTTGGCTCAGAGGTACATTTGTATGATGATTTGCTCCCAAACAACTGCTCCCAACTTACACTTGGTATAACTGACTCTCTGGCAGAAGATGCATGCCTAAAATATTTTTGTTATCTATGTTGTTGTTTTTTTATTGCTCTGGTTTTATATTTCATTTGTTTTCTCTATACTGTATGGAATCAAAAGGGAAATGATAGAAATGTTTACCAAAAAACCCCCCCAGGTAACCACCAATATATTAGCTAAACTGAATTTATAGTTGGTAATCCTGAAGACACTGAAATGTCTTAATTAAACTGTTAGAAACAGAATCCAATATTCACAAACTATGGCATTTTATTTCGGAGGCCTTTGCTTACATTTATACAATATATTACATAATTCCATTGTCTGCAGAACCTAATATATATTTTATAGCTTTTCTTTATATGTCTTTCCTTCAATGTTTGTCAACAATTTTTTACAGTCCTGTACATATCTGAATAGCTTGAAACCATTTTCAATAAAATCAGTTACCTTTTAAGCACACACTACTAAGACTGAAAATGCTTTTCTTAGAAAAGTCGAATGTAAAGATTCTGACACTCTAGCATCTACAAACAGAAGGTTTGAAATTCTTACATGTTGTATTGCCAGAAAAAGAAATAAAACGAAAAAAGAAAAACATGCCAGCCCCCATAAGCCCAGCCAAAAAAAGTACACAGAACTACAATTAAAACAGTAAAACAATCTGTACAATAAAGTACTGTGTATTAACAGTGCCAGGTATTAAATAGCTTGAATGAACACTCCGCAATATACAAATGTCTTACAAAGTTGTGTAATTAAATACAAGTGCCAACCGAGAGAGGGCTTGGGATCCATACAACATAAAGTCAATAGAAGTGAAAACAGTTGAGTTGATTTGGGGTTTTGTACAAGGCAATTAAAAAAAAAAGTATCTACCACTCAGTTAGCTATTTATATTATAAACAACTATCCCTTCTGTGGCAATGTTCTTCTCGACACCCATGTATAATATTAACACAGTTTACTCCTTCTTGAAGACCTCTCAGTTGTAGCTCATAATAAAATAAGCATTACAAATGAAATATTTGTTGCTTTAACTGAAAAGAAACTTTTACAAGAAAACACAAAAATATAAGTGTTATAATTCATTATGAATAAATATACACTTTAAACTGGCTAAATACAATCTTTATACATTAAGATTTAATACAGTTTGTTAGCCATTTTCTTCTTTTTTTCACAATGTATTTTTATCAAAATTAAAAAAAATACTGATTCATAGAAAAATGGCAAAGTACAGTAGTTTCATTCCAATTCCTGGGTTATTTAAAAACCCACAGTAACCTATTTAGCCTAATTCAAACCTGTAAACATTAGTCAGCCTTTTAAACAGAATCCTTATATTTGGTTATCAGGTCTGATGAGAAACATCCTATTGATGGCAGGTTTGGAATTAAATTACATGTGCTTGACTTGTACAGTTATAGCCACCGTAAGGTGACTTAGTTAAAAAACAATTGTCTTGTAAAAATGAAAATAGGTTCATTTTTCCTAAATAATGGAAAAATATCAAATGCTCCAGCTTTAACAAAATACCAGGGAATAGGTGAACAGTAAGCCACTTTTAACACATTAATCAGGCCTACCCAACAACTGTATGCTTACCGTATCCATTCTACTGGCAGTGAACAGCCTTCATTTGCCACAGTGGAAGGCCTTCAACTCACCACACAATTCCCAGACAAGTTGGAAACAATTATTGCTTGAGGAAAAGCAGTTTGTTGTACTTTTTCTTCAAAAAAAGTGCACTTAAGTGCAAAGTTAGCTTGTCAAGAAAAAATTTAAATACAAAATAGTGCTTGTCTGAATTTTGTGCCACTGTGCAGTATAAAAAGTGGCCCTCAGCAGCCATTAAGTGCAAAGTGCTTAGGCAAGTCTTGCTGTCACCTGCACTCAACTGACATTCCATTCTGTGATGAACTCGACATGGGTGGATCTGCTAAACTTAACATAACTGCTGCTGTAATGGAACTGGAAGAAGGCGAGGAAGAGGATGACGACGTGGTAGCAGCACCTGTAATGAAGAGCAAAAAATTAAATACTCCCTGAAAAGAATAGTTACAGAAATCAAATAACATTTAGGGCATATATCGGCATTTTGTAACTACCTCCTGAGTGCTTTTATAGTTGTGGTCGTCTCTTCAAGTGATATGTGTTGCTTTATTAAGCAATCTTAAGGGCATTTACAGCACAATCATATAAAAGTTTATACTGAAGTCCCCTGGATTTCAGTGGGGCTTAGTCACAGGTAAGTGGGTAAGACTATAGCCTCAGTTCACTTTGGTGCACACAGATTGCCACAATTTAAGAAGGTATACTTCATTTTAATGGATTCACTTCTGTTACCAAGTTCATTTTTGCATTGAAAAGGAGCTTTATGAAGCCCAGTCTTGCAACAGAAGCCCAACCAGGATTACCAATTTGTCCATCTTGTATTTTGGAAGGATTTTGCCTTTGATCTTAAGTGAAATAGTAAATGTCACTGAGATGAAAGGAACTTGTTTCCATTTTAGTGCACTTAGGTTTGGGGTATTTGTCTGAAACATAGTAGTTTTACTTGCTTCAGAGTTAATTTTCCAGATGAGTTTAAGACTGCTGGGTGAGGCATGTCCCGTGTTCCAATAACTGCATTATCTCCCAGTTTAGACATTACATTTGAAGGAGCAGCAAGGGAAAGGAAAATATGATCTAAAGATCCACTTCCCATCACACACTATACATAGGCTCACACTGTTGCTTTGTAATAAGACCTTTTTGTGCATTATCATTATATAGATCAGTTTGCCAGCTCCTTCTCCTGGCCTAATAAACAGTACAATCAGGTAGCACTTGTGGATTGAGCGGTTGCAATGAGATAATCCTAACTTTCTCACAAACGTGTTTGCTTCCTTGTGATTATTTTAATGTACACTGGATGGGAAATAGGTCTACATGGAGCAATTCCTGCACTCTTCTTTTACAATGCCTGCCCATAGAGAAGGGATGAGCATGAGCTTTATTAATGCCTCCGCTTTTTATTCTGCACTGGTTTGGTTTGGTTTGGTTTTTTAACTTTGCTCAAGTACAGAATCAAAGAGGCAGCCACTGAGCATGTGAAAAATAACAATGTGAGAAGCAAAGGACAGCATTCAGGCTCAGATTAGGATAAGACTGAAACGGTCCCTTAATACTCACAAAATAATACCTAATATTTTAAGAGACACCCAAGAGTCAAATTCTAACTTCGTCAACATGTTCAAGACCTAATTACTTACTTTCCCGCTCTTTTTTCTTCAAACGTTTTCTTCTTCTGTCAATGGAAGCTACTTCAGATTTTAAAGACGAATAATGTTTCCTGATTTCTTGTAGCTTTTCTTGTAGGATTGCTATGCGCTCTGTGCTGCTCATATTTTCTAACTCAGCTGCAGAGAAAGCAACATTCATTAGCTCAATGCAAAATCTTAATTCTTCCACCTTATGAAAAATAACACAAAATGAGGGATAGACCAAAACTGAAGGAGATGCAACAAATTTATAGCATTATACAAATTCTAGATTTAATTAAATAAAAATCGGACAGTGTTAAGAAATAAATGATTCTTTATAGAAAACTGGGAAGACTGGATGAGTCTATTTATCAAGGTTATTCTTGTATCAGTAGCTACTGCCACTAGGAATCAAATAATCACCACTCACAAAAACCAACCAACCAACCACCTATGTATATTTATTTTGCCATAAGATTTCAAGGCAAAGAGTCTGCTTCATTAGATGCAACGTGAAAGTTAATAAATCTCTTAAGTCTTTAAAATACTACAAACGTCTTTGCCTTTGTTGCAAAACAGGCTAACATGGGTCATTCCCTTGCCCCTCCAACAACCTTGGGGTTGCAGAAGGTACACATTCAAAAGTGCAGGCACAGCAACAAGAAATCCATACTTACACATCTGAAAACTCCATTTGTAAAGTTTTGGCAAGCGATTGTTCTGTTCCTTGAGATCAGAATCCTTCTCTCCATTTTTGCCACACTTTCCTGGAGACTGCGTTCTTGCTGGAGATTTGGTATTCTGAGACTTCATTGCTGCAGGAACTGATTTTGCTGGCTGAGATTTGATGATACTTTCTCCAGCAGAAAGTTCTTCACTATCACTGCTGTTTGCTGAAGAAACACATAGGAAATACAGGTTTAGCATATTTCTAAAAATCTCAGCACCCCTTTGAATGATTGTTTCCAATTATAAGACGCAGTTTTACTGCGGGGTAAAACTAATCTTGACGCAGACAATCTGGCTGCAATCTTCCAATAAAAAGAGAATGGCAGTTTAAAACAGGTAACTGGAAGAGAAAACGTAACACTTGTTCCCATAGAGATGAGTGGTACCAGGCCCTGGTGCCAGAGGGCAAGGAATTCCACAATTTGATATGGGTTAGGCAGCCCTTATCACTTATGAGAACTCATTCGGGGGGGGGGGAGGGTATACAATTTTTTTCTTTTTTGTATGTACAGATTCTATAACTTCTTCATTCCAACAATACTTCATTCTCAGTTGTGAGAAACATGAATGATATTAAGGTTTGACCCAAAAGCAGGCCCAAAACTGTTGCAAATACATTTTCTAAAGTTTGAAGCTGAAGTTTGCTATACTTACGTTTGCTTTTCTTTTTGTTGTTCACCACAGATGCTTTGTGACTTCTTTTTTGCTTTTTTGAGGAACCACCTCCCTGGACATCTTTGAGCCTTTTTTGGCCTGGACAAGCTTTAGTAAAATAATAGCAAGAACAAGATATTAGACAATGTATTTTACATACCAGAGACACCAATGTTTACTTTTTAAACAATGAAGTGGAATTAACTTAAAATATCTGCTTCCTGCTTCAATGCAAATTCTCTAAAGTAAGTAGGCCTAGACCAAAGAAGAGACATACCCATGTGGGGGAAAACTGCACGCACAACCTGAGCTTTGCTTGCTGCTTTTGTCTCAGCAGTTGCTACTGAAGAGGCAAACCACTGTTCAGTTTAGAAAGCATCTTGCCTCTAAGGCAGTGGAAACTAATGTGGCAAAAGCAGGATGTGAAGTTGCAGCTGTGTGTGTGGTCCTTTCCTGCATAGCCATATCCCTTTTTTGGGTCCAGCCATAGAAAATATGAATGCTAGATACTCTGATTTATTCAAAGCAAGGATTTTGTTAGATGATTCCTTAAAACTGAGAGAAGAAAAAACAAGACATATGTTATTAAAATAAACTTTCAAGCAACTATTTTTATCATTTTAATAGAATGATAAAGTAATGGCCACTCTTAGTTTAGAAATCCCTTTAGAAAATGTGAAAAAATATGCAATACTCCTGTAATAAAAAGCCTACCATACTAGGGATGAAATTTAATAGAATAGGAACACTTAATCATGCTTGTATGTTTTTGAAAGATTTTGTTGTTTTCAGCTGTCTATTAATTTAACTAAGTCTGAGACAATTTTATCATAGTTTCTAAAGACAGTAATCTACATTTCACAGGACATGTAAAACTACTATGCTGAACAACAGATAACATGAACAGAGCAGAAATGGAAGAATGCTGTAGAGCAAACCAGGATTGGTTGGCAGTGACAAGCGGATAAAGAAGATCAAATGTGCAGTCTGATGTCCTCTTCAGTCAGCTGCACCATTCTTTAGCAAAATATATAAATATTGTACTGTAGTTAATACTGTACTGAAATTCAAAACAATTTTGTTAGATCCCATGGTTAACTATAATCTACTAGACCATATAATCTATTAGACTGTAGCCATTCAATTACATTTTCCAGATAACTTTTGAGATAACAAAATATTTTCATTCTCATTTGTGAGATAAACTTGTGCAAAGAATAGTGGCACATTCACATAGTTCAGTATTAATATCAGATTCCTAACATCTCTCATTTTAAATAATAAGACGCATTCTTTCAACTCTAAAATATATGGGGCTGAATCTGTTCCCAGAAGGGAAGCCTTGGGTCCAACCCACTGATAATTATATTCCATTTTCTGAACAGTACAGTTTTCACAGAGATTTAAGACATCTTGAAGACAGACAGAAACCTTGGAACTCAACACATTAATAACGAATTTGGAAAAGTGATAAAAGCCAAACGGCACAATGTTTATACCTTTCTCAGCGTGTTCTGGTTGATTGCTGCTGCTGGAGCTGACACTGGCATCAAAGCCTGTAGGAGATATATTTCCTTCAGACTGCAGGTCCTGCAGTTCCCCTACAACACTGTCCACCTCAATTGTGCTATCCGTTTCACTCTTGATGCTTCGTACCTCTTCTTGATTTGGTGCCAGTGGTTCAGACACAGACGCGCTGGACTGATGTCTGCTGGATTCTGCTACTGTTACAGACGGGGGCGATTCAGGTGTTGTGGGAGGGGTGTTTAGTACGGAATTACTGCCACTGCTTGGGAATTCAACTTTTTTGTCATTCGTTTCAGCTGGCTTCTCCTCGACAGATTTCATTTCTGTGCTGAGTGGCAAAGGTCTTTCAGATTTAGAACTGGGAAAAGAAGTCTCTTCTACAAGAGTTTGCAGGTGTTGCTCCGGTGTAGCATCCTCGGAAGACACATGTGGCGGAGAAGCTGCTGCCTCTGTGTCAGAGTCTGAAAAAAGCTCCTTGAGGGTTTTTTTAGGCCACTGCCCCTGAATACTCGACCAGACATCTTTTCGATCTTTAGCTCTGGTGTTTTGAAGCCTTTCGTCAGAGTTAGTTAGAAGCTTTACTCTCTTCTCTGCCACTTCAGAGAAACCTGAATAAAAAGCATTTGTCCGTAAGGATTTCCTCTTCTCATCCAAACCATTGTACTTCTTGGTTGGTGTTATTTTTAATTTAGTTTTCCCCTCATCTTCATCTGAGGAACTGTTGCTACTGTTTTCCAAACTTAACATGTCTTTGCCATTTGATTTTTCATCCTTGATATTAGGTGACCCAGTTTTTACACATTCCTCTGGGACACAGTATCTTCGTTTTCCACGTTTCACTGGGGGCTTTGTTTTATCCACTGCCTCTTTCTTGACATCTTTCTTCTTCTTGGTGGCTTCGTTCTTTCCCTCATAATCAGTATCATCAGATAGTTCTGCCAATTCTTTTCGTAGTCTTTCCGGAGATTTGGATGCTGGTTTGGATGCTGTGGCATCTGAAAGGGATTTGACCTCTTCTGGAAAGGGCAAGCTGTTCTGCTCTTTTGGACAGAGTTCATTGTTACCTTGGCTCAAAGCCTCATCTTGCGGTTCTTCCTTACCATTATTATAAACACTTGGAGGACTTTGGTCATCATCTTGCTCGCTGTCATCAGAGCTTTCAGAAGCTGGGGGAGGAACCAAGAAAATCAACTGCAAAAACCATCATCCTAACTATATTTCTGGATATATTACAATTATATTGATACAAAAACATTTGTTTTAGGCTTCAGAATCTTTATATCTATTAAAATTAGGCATTCAATAATCTTAAAAAGCAAATCAAACATGATTTTTTAAAAATTCTAGAGCTATACTGGTGGCAGTTCTTGTTTTGCAATTCTCACAATGCTGCTGGGTAATTATACCAAGGAACGTGTATAGTATTCTGGAACTCTATTAAGTGATTGAGGCCCTGATAAATACATCTTCACTCATAGGAGCATGATGCACATATGGATGCATTCAAAAATCTTCCCAGTTAAGCATACAAATTACATGCTCATCTCTTATAGCACTGATAACCTGATGGAGAGAATGGGATGCCTAGGTTTTACTCCTAATATGCAATCACATATAAGTAAGAGTGCTAATCACGTGTTTGGCAATGTGCATGAAATACATGGGGTTTCCTCTCATGTGGCATTCTTTTGAGAGAGGGTGGGTTATGGGTTTGTTTTTACTCTTGTCTTTATTGTGTATTCTGTTTTTTTATATCTTGTATTTTTATGTTGTGAACTGCCCCGAGATCTATGGATGAAGGGCAGCACAGTGGTACCTCGGGTTACAGACGCTTCGGGTTACGTGTCCGGGTTACGGACGCAGTGAAACCCGGAAGTACCGGAACAGGTTATTTCCAGGTTTCGGCGCTTGCTGAAACAGGCCCATGCAGATCTTGTCTGAGGACCCAGGGCAGGAGTCTTGTTAGAATAAAGTTATAAACTCAAACATGATAAGTACAGCCAGCCCCTGGCAGGCCCGCCACCCCCCACCCAGCTGGCTTAGCCCTCTGAGGTCCTGGACAAGTGTACCCAGCTGTTCCATGCTCTGTGCGGGCCTGGGCTAAAATGCCTTACCAGTCCTCAATCCAGTTGTGTAACATCAGCCTCTCTTATTAAAAAAATCATTTAAGTGGGCACTGGAAGCTGTAATAGAGTTGGAATATTGGTCCACCTGGCTAAGTATTGTCTAAACTGATTTACACACTTCTCCAAGTTTACAAGCAGGGGTCTCTTCCTCAGCCCTAACTGAAGATGCTGAAGATTGAACCCAGGTATTCCTGCACACAAAACTTGTGTTTTACCAATGAATGAGAACACTTCAATGGGTTGTTGTTGTTGTTGGGTTTGTTTTTTTTAAAGTAATATTATTCCTGCTTCTCCACAAGTTTTTGCATCAAAAACCATACTTTTTATGTTTATTAATGCAAACTGGACCTTTAGATACAATTAATAAAAACCTTTACGCAAACACCACAAAAATAAATATTCTTTTCTCAAACAATCTAAGATAGCTTGTAACTTGCAATACAAATGATGAAACAGACTCAAAGGAAAGTGCACGAGACGAAAAGGAAATGAGGATGGTTTCAAAAGGCTTTATCAGAGAAATGGCTTTAAAAAGGAAATGCAATATTCTTTGGAGGATAAAAGTGAATCAATCCCACATGTTCTAAGACTGTAGAATTAGAAAGGAAAGGAGAACGAAGACTCCCTAAAGGAGCAACATAAAGAGTATGGTTCCATTGTGAGAAATGACAGATTGATACCATATTGTATGGGACCAGGTCCAACATTCAAACAACTGAGCAATCAATCTCATGAGCCCAAGGGGACTTTATATTTATCTTCTTGATCAGCAGCTTGTTGATCAAGATGGCTTTTAAAACTTCGAAGATTTTCATGGAGAGCGGCTGTTCAGAAAAATCAGCCAATAATTCCATTCAGCAAACACAAGCCTTTGGGCTCAGCTAAAGTAGTTCATTGGATTCTGACCCAAGACTAGAAGCCACAAGTTTGTTTAAGGAGGAATGGAACTACTAGGATGTGGGTGAAATGAAATAAAATGTGAGTTGCAATATCTAGTAACAGACAGAAAAGCAAAAATGTGTTGATGTCCATAGAAAAGGAAAATGTTAGGACAAACTAGGAACAGATGAATGTAGATGGTAGGAAACTAAAGAACAAAAAAGAAGAGGGGGCAACTCACTCACACAAAGACATTCTGCTAGGAGATTACATGATTACTTACTCCGGCCTGCTATAGTTTTCCTGTTTCTTAATGAGCCTAGATTCTTATCCATACTTTGTACTAAGTAAATGAATGGTCATGCTTAAGCTAGTCACCAGTACTATTGATTTCAAAATACATGAATGTGCTTCCCTCTTTCTTCTTTATCAGCTCTTATCTTTGCCTTCTGTTCTCTCCTTGGGTGAGATCCAACATAATGTTAACACAAGATGTTTGAGAGTTGACATTGTCATGTGAATCACAACACACAAGCTTATGTGTCACAGAGACTAATAATAATAATAATAGCAGTGGCGCTAGGTGTTGCACTACATCTTACACACAATACTAATTGAATTTGGCTTTTGTGCTAAGCTAAGAACAATACTTCCATGATGGAGAAATAATTTATAGATCCCTATATTTAATAAGATTACATCAGTAGAGATAATTTCCTCAAGTATTGTAATTCTAAACATTCATGCTAATGTAGTAGGAGTAAACATGTCAGTATTGCCTTGATCACTGCAGCAAAATAAGCAACATTTGCTCCATTTTACCTTTGGGTTCGACCCATGAAATGTAAAGAAATAAAACAGAAAATTTAGAGAAAAGTATTTGCTCCAAGAAATAAAGACTGCATCTCCACTGCAGATAATCCTTATACAAAAGGTTACTTCATTGCACAATGCATGCAGCATATGCACACAGTACACAAAAGTTACAAACTAATTCCAAAAACTTAATAAGAAATAGCTATTTTCTGTGCAATTTTCCATTTAGTGTTGGATTGTTTCTTAGCATCAACCTCACAAATGTGTCCACAGAATTTACTAGTCCACCAATGGAAAAATTAAATAATTATTAACACGTATTCTCAAACACATGTTTGCATAAATGTTACCCTTGACACTGATACATATCACTACATGAAAACATTTAGAGATGAGTGCATGTGTTAGTTATTAATGGCAGTTTGACAAGGCTCACCAAGGCTTTCTTGTCTCCTTGTCTGAACATGGTTCTTATTCACTAAAGGCGACTAGGGTCTGTTTAAAGCCTGTGCTACATAAAGGATTCTCTTCCCTAGTACTAGAAAAATGTTTGCACAATAAACTGAACGTGTCTATTACCTTGCAGTCCATTAAGGATAGAAATAATCTCTGAAGATTTATTTGGAGCAGTTTCAGAAGTTTTGGCTTCAGCGCAGTCTGATTTGGATGCCATCTCAGGTGATATACTGGCATGAAAAGGTGGTTTTGATGAGCGTCGCAATTTAAACGTTTTAGGAGAATATTTTTCATCTTTCTCTTTGTCTGCTTTATTCTAGTGTATAAGAAAAATATAGTCAGTTAATTAAGCCATACTATTTATCTTAAGAGTTTTGAGCATAAAACTCTGGAAAGGTATCACACATGCTGAGGAGAAGGAAGCCTAATGGAGCAGATATTAAGCTTTCTACAAGAGTTCCATAAGTGGAATTTTATCTTTGTTAGATAATGAATTTCTGCCAACAAACAAACAAGAAAAATACAAATCCCAAATATGTGCATAGACACTTATACACACTTTCCAGTGAAACTGGTGAGGGTGTACCTTCTGAAATTTGGAAACAGTTCTGCTGCTGCGCAGAAGCTTTTCACGTCCCTCCTCATAAATGAACCTGATGTTGAACCTCCAGAATGCCAAGAATGTGAGGGTTGCATACAATGGTGTCACTCAGCTGACTAAAGCTTCCATCAGTGGAATGGAGAGGGAAGCGTTCTTTGGCAACAACTCCCTCCCCCAGACCCTCTAAATCTGTTCCAGAGGTTTTGGGGATCCTTCAGAGCAGATTTAGAGGAAGGGGCCCTGCAGTGTAAAAGGGAAATAACCAAAAATGGCTTTCCTCCTTGTTCCACTGATTGAACCCTTTGTCTACTGAATTACATCATTGGATACAAGCCTGCCAAGAAAGAGCATTATTAGGACCCATGCTGAGTCCTGCTCACTCTCTGGGTGATGGTCTAACCAGGTGATTGATTCTAGGTCCCGTCAAGGGATATCTCAAAACAGGGTGAAAACTATAAGTAAGTGAAGAGCTTCATTATATGTATGACACTGGAGATAGTCTCAGTGTAGTCCTAAATGGAATCTGGGGGTTTGCATTATTAAATTGCACTTTCTCTATCATGGATTTCTCATATTTGCTAGGAAAAAAACTCTATGATATTGGAAACTGTGAATGTTCCATACTGGATAAAGGGCGGTATGTAAATCTGCCCAAACCAACAAACAGTTATCTAACTAAGCAACACTGAGCCCATAAAAAAACAACACCACACTGCCTACTGTTGTGTTTTGATGAATAAGTTGCCAAACACATAATATGGGTCTGATATAGGATGACTGGCTTTGTCCTTCACAGTCAACGGTATTATGTTAACTCAGGTACAAAATGACAAGTAAATATGAAACAACATTCTTGTGGCACTGAAATTCCCTCCAACTAGAACAGCTGCTATCATAAATGAGTATGTGGTCTTTTCTCCTCCACTTATTCATATGAATATATTCAGCAGTAGCCCAAAGTCAACAACCTTTATTTTCTTCCGATGCTTTATTTTTGGCACATTTTTGTCAGCTGGTCTCACTATCTTGTCTGCTTTGATCCATTCATCATACCTACAAGGAAATAAAATACATAATGTTACATTTTGGGAGATATTCAAAGCATGGTCTTCAGCAGGGGTAGCCAATATGGTGCTTCCAGATCTTGTTGGACACCAACTCCCATCAGTCCCAGCCAACATGGCAGATGGTCAGAGATGATGGGAATCGGAATACCTAGGGGTATACTTAACATCTAAAAATTTGAATTTGTACAAGGACAACTATGAAAAATGTTGGTCAGAAATCAAAAGAGATCTAGAAATATGGTCAAATTTGAAATTGTCAATGTTAGGCCGAATTGCAGTGATCAAAATGAATGTATTGCCTAGAATGTTATTTCTGTTTCAGACCTTGCAGATTCTTGACAAGATGGAATGTTTCAAGAGGTGGCAGAAAGATATTTCGAAATTTGTCTGGCAGGGCAAAAAGCCCAGAATTAAATTTAAAATATTGACAGATGCTAAAGAAAGAGGGGGGTTTGCCCTGCCGGACTTAAAATTGTACTATGAGGCAGCAGCTTTTTGCTGGCTGAAGGAATGGATGCTCCTCGAGAACACAGACATCTTGGATCTGGAAGGTTTTAATAATGTTTTTGGTTGGCATGCATATCTATGGTATGACAAAATTAAGCAGCATAGTGCCTTTAAAAATCACATTGTTAGAAAAGCACTGTTTAATGTATGGATGAGATATAAAGATCTGTTGGAAAACAAAACCCCTAGATGGGTGTCACCAGTCGAGGCTAAAGCAGTAAAGAAACTCAATATGGAGGTCGGATGGCCGAAGTATTGGGAAATTTTGGAACAGGATGGAGATAAGTGGAAATTACAAAGCTATGACAAATTGAAGGATAAAGTACAAAACTGGCTTCAATACTACCAAGTAATGGAGCTTTTCAAACAGGACAGGAAAATTGGCTTTCAAGTGGATAAATCAAAACTAGAGATTGAACTGTTAGAACCCAACACTAAGAATTTATCAAGAATGTATAACTTGTTGTTGAAATGGAATACACAGGATGAAACGGTGAAATCAGCCATGATTAAATGGGCACAAGACATTGGTCATGACATTATGTTTGCTGACTGGGAACAGTTATGGACCACCGGTGTTAAGTTTACGGCATGTAATGCCTTAAGAGAAAACATAATGAAAATGATTTACAGGTGGTACATGACCCCAGTCAAGCTGGCAAAAATTTACCATCTGCCCGATAACAAATGTTGGAAGTGTAAAGAGACTGAAGGTACCTTCTATCACCTTTGGTGGACATGCCCGAAGATTAAGGCCTTCTGGGAAATGATCTATAATGAAATCAAAAAGGTACTCAAATGTACCTTCTCTAAAAAACCAGAGGCCTTTCTCTTGGGCATTGTCGGCCAATTGGTGACAAAGAGGGATAGAACTTTCTTTATGTACGCTACAACAGCAGCAAGAATACTCATCGCAAAGTATTGGAAGACTCAAGATCTACCCACTCTGGAAGAATGGCAGATGAAAGTGATGGACTATATGACATTGGCCGAGATGACAGGCAGAATCCGTGACCAACGAAAAGAGACGGTGGAAGAAGAATGGAGAAAATTTAAAAGTTATCTTAAGGACTACTATAAACTTAATGAATGCTAAAATGTTGTGGTTTCCAGAAACAAAGGGATACAGGGATATAAGGTTAGAAATATAAAAAAGGACTAAGAAGACAGAGATTGGAAAATAACAATTGGGAGTTGCTAGTTGAACTATGGACACTGGGATGCAGAGAGGGGGGGTATGGGGAAGTCAAAGGAAAGAGGTTTATGAAAATATGTTTGAAACTATACGTGTATGTTTGTCATTTTTGGTGTTTGTTTGTTTTTTGTTTAAAAAAGTTTCTAAAACCAATAAAAATTTTATAAAAAAAAAAAAAAGAGATGATGGGAATCGGAGTCCAATAGTACCTGGAGGGTCCAGATTAGTTTCCCCAAGTCTACAGGAACAACAAGTAGAAATACAGATAATAACTTTTTAAGCACATAAGAAGAGCCCTGCTGGATCAGACCAAAGTCCCACCTAGTCCAGTATTCTGTTCTCACAGTAGTAGGTCCCACAGCACATGGGAAGCCTGCAGACAGGACATGAGAGCAACAGCATTCTCTGCAGTTGTACTTCCTAGGAATGGGTGTTCAGAGGCATACCAACACCATTACTGGAGGCAGCACATACTTGGTTATCTCCAGTAATCACTCTGAAATAACTCAGAAACTTTTCATGGCAATTAAATGTAGCTTATGCTTTGACAAACTCTTACAAAATGAAAAATAAAATATTCAAAGCAAGAAGAACCATAAATACATTATTTTAACTTACTGACAGCATATCATACAGAATTCTGACAGTCATATTCATCCAACTCAGGAGACAGAATGAAAGTGGCTTAACATTTAAAATTCAGCAGAAAGAGTATGAATGAGTCGCCACCTTGTTAGCACTAGCACTGTTGAACACATAGTTAACAGCTGTTTCAAGCTGAAGGCCACATTTCCCTACTTCAAAGAAGTGTCTAAACAGAAATTGTATGAGTCAGGCTGTGAATCAATGCTATTTTCTTCCACAAAAGACGACTGCAGGGTCTACATTTGATTGACAGAACTGAAACTCCTAGCTGTCTCTTTCCTTCCACTAACTCCAATCACCAAATAACAAACCTTCACCTATTGCTGGCACCTCCTAAAAATAACTATCTACTCACCTAAGCATTCTGACTCTCTTAATGCACAAATGTATGTAGACCCTCCACCCATTCTGTCTCATGTCCTGTAGCAATTTACGGTAATTCTGATTATGCAAAACTGACAATTCCTTGATTTGCTTAAATTCACATGGGATCCCTAGCCTAAATCATCTGTGTAAATATTGATGTACAGTAAACATATGTAGTCTGTCCAAGGGTTATAGAATTACAAACCAACAGTGAAGGGTCTACAATTATGATGTGAGGCATACATGATATATTATTAGCTGAAAGACAGATGTGAAAGGCATCTCAATTTGCTATTGCTTTTTTTTTGAGTTGGAGCGTGGAGGAAGGATACAGAGCACCACAAAGGTACGTTTTTATTATTAAATTGCTTTGAAGAACAAGAGGCCACAAAAGCAATGAGAAAACAACTTATTAGGCGCACACACCCTAAATATAACCACCAAAGATCACTCTCTTGTCTCTCTCTCTCTCTCTCTCTCTCTCTCTCTCACACACACACACACACACACACACACACACACATGCTTTTGTATGCCTAGATTTCAGGACAAAAAGTTCTACTCTGTTTTCTACTGAGGCTGAAAAGTCCAATCTACAGATTTAGGGTTTGCATTTCTTGTAGGGAATTAGCAAGAGCCTCAGGGCACGACCTCTAGGGGAAATTTAAACTAGTGGCTTTATGTTGATGGTCTATTGAGTACAACGGTTTCTAAAGGTCACACTCAAAGTTAAATATACATAATAGAAACCCTTCAGTAACTAAACAATCACATGAATTAACAGGATTCTCTAGCCCTTATAAGTATTATCTAAATCTTTCCCTCAAAAGCTAGAGTTTCAAACTGGAATACATTCAATACAAATCACCCAAGCCACAATTAAGACTTTATAGTCAACCGCTCACAAATCTATCATTTCTACATACTAACACCAATATCATTTCAAAACTTAACTATAGCTGCTCTTGGATCTCTTATAAATAAAAATAGTTTAAAGCCTATAAATAAAAGTTCTTTCACAATGAAGCAAGTAAAGCCTGAGCTCAACTTTCAACCTCTTTCTAATGCTAGGGAGAAAAAGAGTGTTGCTTGAGTAGTGTTGTATATAAAATATACATCCTTTTCAAAGGAAATGAAATACAAAAAAATCAAAGGCTTTATACAAGTTCATTACATCAGTTTGCAAGTCATATGTTGTGTATTCACTATTTACACTTGAACATAGAAGGCAAAACTCTTATTATTTTGCAATACATGCTCAACTTGGTTTGAAGACACATGTGAGCAAGTCAACAGTTAAGGAAACTAAATACTGCAAGAAAAAGAAAAAGAAAATCCTACAATTCAAAATCTTTACTAGCAGTCTCTTATTTGTCTGATAAGCAATGACTTCATTGAACACAGCTCCATTATGAAAATAGAGAAGGTAGCATGACAAGAGTTTCCAACTATGACTCATGATGGCTGACTTTGCCAACATCAGAGAAGTCTAATATGGCATCTCTCCAACCTTCCGAGACAAAGATAACTATAAAAGCAATGAAGATACAAATGGCAAGCAAAGATGATAAGAAGGTCTACATGAGTATTAAATGAGAAATATGGGGCCTGTTACAAAAGCCCTTGCAAAACACATATCCATAAAACAAACTTTTGAAAGAGCCTGAGGATGCAGCAATTTGAGAACTGCACGGAGTAGAAAATTCAATTAATGGCATAAAAGAAGTCAAGAACATTTTTGGCAAAAATTAAACCCACCATTTCCCCAATGCACTAAATTACAGCAGCAAGCCATAATAAGAGGAAGATGCTCAGACATAAAATCAGTGACACAAGTAACTATGGCAAGATGAATCTTCTTTAGAAGTGTATGGTAACAAGAAACCAGGTCTGGCCAAGTGAAAGTCAGCTATTTACTGTCCACAAAGATGCACATAAGAATCCTAGGTGCTCAAAGAAGCTGGTCATCTGGTTCAAGTGCTGAAAATGAACGATAAGATTCTTGCATGCATGCAATCATCCAGATAGAAATCCAGTTACTCCAAATGAAACCTCACCTCTACTTCATGGTAAAATGTATGCTTTGCTTTTTCATGCTAGACTTTGAGAAATGTGTAAAGATCTAGCTGTGTGTTGCCCAATACTACATGATGAGCAGAGCCATAAGCTATTTCTCTGTTATGTAGTACTTAAAATAATGCTGAGAAAGGAGTCCAAACAAGATTATTTTTCTTGATCTATATGCTATTCAGTTGCTGTGGCTATATCCTATAATATAAATAATTTTATACAGTACAATGATCTCCAAAGAGCAGCAATATTGAAAAAAATTCAATATTCAGTGTGTTTTAAAATACACAAGTGTATTTTAGAAGTATTTTTAAGGAAGTAATCACTAGCTAAATCTCAATTACCTCACATTCCATCCGCAGTAGTGCACCAAGTAAAGGACTTCTCCACCTTCAATATCAGAATCTTTAATACTAGCTTCATACATTTTTTGATTTTTCCCTCGTCCATACCGCACTTGGACTTTCATGCCTGGTGGATAACACTCAAATTCTTCTTCTTCCTCATTGTTGTCATTGTTGTCATCTTCCTCTTCTTCCTCCTCCTCTTCTGCTTCTTCTTCATCTTCTTCTTCCTCCTTAATGGTGCCATTGCTTGAAAGGTTTAAAAAATGTCAGTTAATAAAAAGATTGGGGAAAATGTTCTGTGCCAAATGGCGTATATTGATTAATACTGCGGATGCATAGAGGGTGAAGAACAGCAGGCTCCATATATATATGTAAATATATATGAAATCCCTTAAAAGATGAGAATTTTTAATTTATATTGTCAACTGACAAGAATATAGACAAGAATTTAGCAATCAGAATAGTGACAGAAAGAAGCTTTAAAACTTACAGAAGATTTTAAAAAGATGACTTGTTTTAATGAAAAAAACGTTTACCACCATCTATGAAGATTAAAGATGCAGTCATAAGCCAAGATGCTACTGAAGCTGTCTATCCCTAGCTGAGACATCTTCCCCCTGCTTCTTGGGCCCATATTTCTCTGTCTCTCCCTATAGAATGTATTTGAATTTTTCACTGTGCTTCATACATAATTAGTTTTCAGAACATAGAATCCTAGAGTTCTAGAGTTGGAAGGGACCACAAAGGTCATCTAATCCAACCCCTTGCAATGCAGAAATCTTTTGCCCAATGTGGGGCTTGAACCCAGGACCCTGAGATTAAGAGTCCCATGCTCTACCAACTGAGTATACACTGAGGTCTTTTTTGTTTGTTTTGGAACATAACATTAATTGGCAAAGGACTGCTTTAAAAGCACAGGTATGCTTTCGTTGCTAAGGCTTCAATTCAAAAAATTGTGCAATTAATTCCGCATACCGAAAGCAGTAGCAACCCAAGCCTCATGGTTAAAACTCTTTTGACATTAGGATGAATTTCAAAAGTAGCTTGTGAAGAAGGAGGCAGGTGTGTATCTATTTAAAATCTCCACCCACACCCTTGGGTACGTATAAAATAGCTCTCTGGATCCTGGTCATGACACAGAAAGTAGTGGTCTAAGTTTTCAAACTTAAAAACTCAACCCAATATTTATGAATTTTAAATAACAGATTTTTTTTCAGGTCCTCTCCCTAGAAGTCATGGGCACTGAATTTAATCATGACTTTTGAAGAGGCAAGCATCCAAAATTGGCGGCTTTTTTTCATAAGCCTTGACAAAAATCCAAAGAGGGAGAAGTTGGATGAGAGAGAACCACATGCGCAGCTGAAGCTCTCCCTAGCTGTTTTTGCCATAGCCGTTTCTGCTGCTGAAGAACCAAGCCTTTGTTGAGTATAAAAAGCAGCTTTTCTCATACCCAGCGGCAAGTGCTGTGACCAGAACAGATAGTTTAAGTTATGCATGTTTTCTCTCCTACGTTACACACATCCATTCTAATTTGTCTCCAATAATAAACTGGATTTGGCAATGTGCTTACTTCATTATGCTTAATAAGTAAGCACTTCTTGGAGAAAATTTCAAAACTATTGTAAAATGTTTTTGAACAAGTTACAGCTAGAGAAAGAGGCTTTGCAAGAAATTTATAATCTAAATTTTAATTTTTAGTATTTCATATAGAAAAAGCCATTTCTCATATAAATGAATGTAATATGGTTTCCTCTCCCAGTGTTCCAAGGATACAAAATTCATTGTAATTCAGATGCTTTTCCCATATAAAAAGGGATCAATCTCCCAGAAAGAACAAGATAAACCTTAATTTGCCCATGTGTCTTCAACGGGAATATCAATGAAACAACTGTAGGGATTTTGAGCTCAACAAGCATGTTCTCCCCCATTTCAATTGTTGTTTGTCATACAACAGTCTCCCCCCCCCCCAATGCAGCATATTCAGCCACACCTTTTCAAAGAATTGGAAGGGACCCTGAGGAATGATCATCTCAAAATGTATTGATTTTGTTTTGCAGCACTAGGGGTGGGAGCATAAAGCCATTCTGTAATTTAAAAAGCTAACAAAAAAGCATTATTGGGTGTGCGGGGTTAGTAACTGATTTTCAGTTTCTCATCTAAAAGGGATCTAGAAACACTTGCATAGATTTCAGCATTTCTCTCTCATCTGTCCCCTGCTTTCCAACATCAGTTTTACACCATCGTGCTTTCAATTCTTTAAAAACACACAAATCTATTAAATATTAGGCAGCACACTAATGAATAAGTTCCTGTTAAACAGAAAATTCTATTTTTTTAATATTATGTGCATTTTTTGTATTAAGTTATTATGAAATCTTAATTATATAAATCAGGAAAAGGCAAAACACAGCCATTGGTGACCTTTAGTTCTCACTCTTTTGCTTTTAAAGTGAGTATCTAACCTTCAATGCAGCAAAAAAATAAATATTTAAAAGCTTGAAAAAATTATGGAAGCATGAAAATCTCAGCAAATTAAATAATCCTCAAATCCTCAGAGCAAGTTATAACATCTTCTGGAACCAAATACCAGGATGCATAATAAAGTTAAAGCGGAGATCATTTTTTAAAATATATGTTTAAAAGGGGTGAAGAGTGATTTGCAATCACAGATGGAAGATACAAAGATGCAACCAATGTCAAGAATATTCACGTCAGGGAACAGCAGAACTGTCAAGAATACATGCCTCCAAGTTTTTCAATAGATTTTTAAAAATAGCTCTGTACTATGAAGACCACAGCATTCTATTCCCAGATTGAAAATCTTGCCATACAGAAAAGAAGCAAAGCACTGAATACCATGAAGCAGAAGTCCTGAGGGAAAATGTTGCCAGGATAGGCCAGTATGCCTTCAAGAAACCTTACTTTACGTATCTGCATACAGACAGAAGCTAGATTTCTTGTATTTCAGACTTTGGTAAACCTAATATAAAAAGCATTTGCATAGCAGATGGTGATGTCTATAAGCTTTTAAATAGGATTTTAAAAACTCCAGTAAAGTGAAGATTTTGGCTAAATGGTAGTGTTGTAAAGCAGACAACTGAAAGGTCAGTTCATTAGAACGATGGATCCCAAAGTACATCAATAAGATAACACAGTAAGATGATGATGCAAGCAGTTCCCGTATGTAAGCTGCCTCAAGCAGTTCAAGTAAAAACTGTCCCAAAGAACAGGAGCTTCAACCTTCAGAAAAGGAAAGTGAAAGAAACCAGCCAGCGACAACAGAAGACTGCAACTACGTTAAAAGGTTTATAGGGAACAGACACACTTGATAATCATCAAAGTAAATACTCTTAAAAGACGAGCCTGAATATTAGTTAGTGTATAAAGGATTTACTATCACAATGCAGTAATCGTTCTGATCATATTTGAAAGAGGAAAAATATTAATTGTATCTAGAGTCTGCTTAGGGTAAATCCCTCTTCCAAATTTCAAACTACTCTGTTACTTCTACATTAGTGGCCATTTTGCATAGTATACATCATTTACTCTGATAATTGCTCTCTTGAGAAACATCTTTTGCAAATCTCCAGAAACACAATCTAAGGAACCAAACACTTCACTCCTATATAATCAATAATGCAATTCAACTGAAATAAGTGTATCAAGCAGCACTTTGATATGCCTAACTAACTTGAATCCTGTGAAGTTTCCTCATTTCAAACCAAGTACACTCAACAACAGTATCTGGTAGAAATCAATGAGGCTCGATCAGCGTAAAGTCATTTTCTATTGCCCCTTACGATACTCATCATAGTGGTCCTATAAATGTGATTGTACAAAATAATTAACCAATGATATCATCTGTGTGAACGGCACAGGCTTCTACTTGCAAAATGGGATTTCCCTTTCCCCTCTTCACCCATTCAGTACACCCCATGCCCCCAAAATCTGCTCTAACATTTGGGGAATGGGGGGGGGGGGAGGCTGCAGAGGGAAGGGGAGGAAGGGCAAGTCCCATCATAGAAGATGAAGTCCATTTTGCTCTTTGCATTTTTAGGAAAAGCAAGATAATTTTTCAGAAAAGATCTGTTTTCACTATGCAGGCATCCCCACATACGTGCACGACCACGTATATGCATGTCGCCAGGAAATAAATAATTCAATTCACGTGGCTCATGAGGAGAGCCTCACCGGAGCTGGAAGAGGACGTCAATGAGAGTAGAGGGAGCCTCAAAGAGTCTGGAGGCGCAATGGGGCTTTGTTTAGGCTGCTCAGCCTCCCCCACCGCTTTTCCATGCATCCTCCAGCTGACCCCAGAGCGTCAATTCTAGTTGTGGATATTTTTGGATACAGTAATTTTTGGGGGGTCTGGATTGGAGACAGAGCTTCAGATAAGATATTTAGAGCAGTGTTTCCCAACCGGTGTTCCGCGGCACACTAGTGTGCCGCGAGACGTTGCCTGGTGTGCCGTGGGAGGGAGGCGGGCGAGTCGGGCGGCGAGAGGCGGGGCGGCGGCGGCGAGGATCCGCGTCGAGCCGGGGGCGGCTCCGCGGTGGTGGTGCCGAGGTTTCTCTCTCCATTCTCCCCTCACACACACACACAGGAAATAACACAGGATCAGCTGACAGGACCCGGCCAATGGGGCGGCGGCGGGGCAGCGCGCGCAAAAGGGAGGAGCGCGAGACAGCGGACGAGGAGGAGGCCGGCATGTCCGGGCAGCAGCAGCAACAACAGCAGCAGCAACTCCCGGCGACGGCTCCTCAAGCCCCGGGCAACCCTACTCCCTCACCGGCCTCGGCCGCCCTCCTGCTCCACCCGCCGCCGCCTCCCCCGCCGCCGCCGGCCACCTCGGCCCCGCCGCTGCCGCCTCCTCCGCCCGCTATCGCCGCCACCACCACAACAGCCGCCGCCTCAGCTGGGCCCATGCCAGCCGGGAGCGGCGGCGGCAGCAGCAGCAGCAGCGCCCCGGCGCCCTTCCCTCCCGGCGTGACGCTGCGCGCTGACGTCACGGGGCTGTAATGGTGATGTGCCTCGAGATTTTTTTCATCAAACAAGTGTGCCTTTGCCCAAAAAAGGTTGGGAAACACTGATTTAGAGAGTGCTCCCTATCTACACAATTTTCGCTAATGAGTGCGAGGGCCCGGAACATAACTCCCATGTAAGTGGGCAGACACTATATATTTGTTTAAGTTGCACATTTTCTGCTTGTTTTCCCTAGGTTTTATATCTAAGATGGGGACCTCAGGCCCAGCATCTGAATATAAACCTCCTCACCTCTCTATCTGGTCTTTGGGACTTGGCCCAGGGCGCACACCCTCACCAACCTTACTTCATTGCCTTGCTGGAATGTGTCCTTGAACTCCTAGAATTGTATATTGTTCCCTTGCCGAGCATCAGTAAGTTCTTCTTGATGTTTAGTTGGATTCTCCTTTCTTGTAACTTCTTTTCACATGTACTTTTGGCAAGCCAGGTGTCCCCCATTTTAATTTGTACAGCTGGTTCTTCCTGCCTAAGTGAAGAACCCGACGTTTGTCCTTATTGAAATTCATTTTGTTAGTTTGGGCCCAGTTCCCCAATCTGTTAAACTCATCGTGAATCCCGATTCTGTTACTCAGCGGCATTGGCTATCCCTCCCAGTTTGGTGTCATCTGCAGATTTATGAGCACCTTCATCCAAATTACAATGGGCCCAGGACAGAACCTCGAGGCATCCCACTTGTCACTTGCAGATTTATGAGCACCTTCATCCAAATTACAATGGGCCCAGGACAGAACCTCGAGGCATCCCACTTGTCACTTTTTTCCAGGATGACAAGGAACTGTTATCACAGTTTCACAGGCTAACCAAATAGCATTCAGAAGTTTTCGGCACTTTAAAATGTATTCCATGAAAAGTAAGAGAGAGGCAATGTCTGCATAGCTACACAAGTTCTGTCAGTCTTTTGGACTATCCTTAAAAGGTGGTAGTGGGGACAGATTGTGGCAATTTTGAATTTGCAACAATTAACTAATTTCCTGATGGAAGCACACCATAGCTAATCTCAAAGACTATGAAAGAAGCACAGCTATATTGCTTAATTTATTATCATTATCATTGCACATTCCATAGATTTCAATCACTGATTCACGAAGTCGTATCTATCATTAGCTTTAGCAGATTGCCCCCCCCGCCCCCGTAACTTGTAAATCTGTGTCCAAGCATTACTATATCATGAGTCACAGAAGCAAAACACAAATATAGCAAAGCATAAGAAATCTGTTCTCTAGAAAAAATATGACGCCCATCACTATTGCAATTCACAATTGTAAATGTCCCAGACAAAACACTAATAAATTTATAGACTAAAGAACTAGGGCCTGAGGAATCAGAGCTTTCAAAATGTTAGAATTTATATATTTGTGACTAGAATACAAGAGGCAAAATGTGCAAAACACAAGTACTGAATACATGTTCTACACATTATTTTAAACCCATTTGTAACAACCACATAAATTAATGTATGTTCTGGGAAGAGCAAAGACAACAGAACAACTTGTACAAAAGCCTCCTTTTGTATCCCAATATGCTAAAATGCTTTTCATTTCAATTAAATCCAAACAGCCATGGTTCTCTTTACTACCTTATCCCACAATAGCTGTTTTATTTCAGTGAAGCTATTTAGCTAAAAGTTGCTAACCTCAGGATTAGTGGGGGGTTTTAAAAACAAAGCAAACTATACTTCCATAAGGTTTTGATGAAAGTAGAACCGCACAAAAGACTCGTGTCCGATCTATGCATTTTAACAGTATGGTCATTACAGGCCGCAGATACAATCTTTGCATGTAGTTCAATTCTTCAATTACATGTGTAACTTGCAAGAAATCAGATAACAGTGTTTGCAGATATGAAAGAGTGTACAAAGCTGAGGGTTGTCTTGATAAGTATTTTTATATGTGAGACTAAACAGCCCACTGCAATCCTGACTGAAAGCCACCACAGAATTGAGGCAATGCAATGGCTAGCATGCTCCTGAACAAAAAAAAGTGGCTAACAGCACAAGACTGCCTATTCTAAGGCAAATCACTAGTGAAACGGAATTGCTAAAGATTATCAAGTGTAGAAGGAAGGAAGGAAGGAAGGAAGGAAGGAAGGAAGGAAGGAAGGAAAGCTCTATGTAGCAAAAAATATGTTCAGATACAGTAACTCTGATATACAAAACTTACACAGTGAAGTGCTCTAGTGAAGTGTTTCTAAGCCCCAAATCAAGATACTAACAACCAAAGTTTTAATCACATTATTAACATATACTAGATATACAGCGATATTATACTTGTTTGTCAAATCAAGAAGCGTGTCTGAGATAAAGATAACTAGAAATGTATATTTTGAAAAACAATAGTATACTACACAAAAACACAACAGGGGCCACATCAGGCCACGGCTTGTAGATCCCCAACATAGCAGAACGAAGTACTAATATTAGTAGTAGTAAACAGAAATGTGAGTGCTACTTTTTATGAGACAATACAGTGCACAGTTACATTTGCATCTTCTGTAAAAACATGTATACAAGGAGGCACATTGTTACTTATCTAAGCCTAGAGCATGCGCAAGAAAAGGGCATGTATATTCCTCCCTTCATTGCTACAAACCTCTTACAAACAGCTCCACAAGAAATACTCTTCCCTCACAATGCTTCCCCTTCAGTGGCTTTCCTGACTAGCTCCTTTTTACATTATTTCACCACATTCCTCACAGGTCCTCGTAATAAGCAGCCCCCAACACTGAAATCATGTAATGCACTGAACTGGTAACAGCAGACACAATTCTTACTGTAGTCAAATATACAAACTTAAGATAGGTACAAACTACAAGTATAAAAGTGAGAATTGTAAATGAACTACTTAGTCCCACTAATAATGTCTGAAACCTGAACTGGAAAAAGCTATATTTTCCAAAAGAAAAAAAAAGTGCCTGAAAGATTAATTCACAATAAAGAAATCCATACACTTCAATATCAATAAGCAGTGAACTCTACATGATACCAAAATATGAGAACACAATGGGTCAATTCCAACATACCATACATGTCAATCTGTATTTCAAAAAAGGGGGAGCATTATTTTTATATACATAAAAATGATCAGTCGATTATCATTTTGCCTGAAAAGCATACCACACCTTTATGCATGTCTGAGGGTCAACTACTCAGATAGGCTGTCAACCTGAATCTAGTCGCATGCATGACACGCTGATAATAGATACTACTATATTTATTTCAGAAGCAGAATGGCAATAAAATAATTTCATTCGGATGTTCAACATAGTCGTCACACCATAGCAGCAAAATCAGGGAAGTCTTGGCAGATCAAGACAATTACTTGATCAGGTGCTTCAACAAAGTAGCGGTACCATCAGTTCTACTGATGTTGTCGCCTTCCAGTAGAATAAATTTATGGAGTGCTGATCTATATTCAGTTGATTTCTGGATAAGAAATAGTCTCTTTCCTTTTAGTGGCGCACCAGATGAGCCAAATCTTTAAAAACTCCAACCTATAACTCAGTGTTTCTCAGACAGTTGGCTAGTGTCAAAAATTCATTGCATGTTGAGTAAAGACTGGGAAAAGCTGGAAATGGAAGGAAGGTCTCCCTCCTCTGAGGGGGAAGGGTAAGGGGAGGTGTTAAAGGTGAGGTTATAGGTTAATATTTTTATAAGCTAGAAATAGAAAGTAAGAGAATGAGAGGGAAACTGTTGTAGGAGGAAGAAATTAATGCAAAAGGATTGAGGAGGAAGGGCAGTCGGCTGGGTATGTGTGAATAAGGTACAAGTTAAGTGTGAAAGGAAAATGGGAGAAGATCAGTAACTGTGGTAAGATGAGACAGTAAAAATACTTTAGAGGCATGTGGGAGTGTAAAGGGGGAAATATAAAAGAAAAAGCCTTCTCCACTTAAAGAGCCTCTGAAGAAGCAAATTCTGCCAAAAATAGGGAGGCTGAGTCACAATACCTACAGAGCAAATGTCTGTACTTAACCTGAGGGAAACTGAGCTATGGAACTCCTTGCCACAAGGAAAATGCTGTGACAAAGATGTCAGTAATTTCCAAAGATGGATTCAATATCAGTAGAAAATGATGTCAGCAACTGTCAGCTGATTATGCCAAACTGTTTCCATCTGCCACCGTTTAGTGACTGGCTCTGCCACTGCACCATTTTGTGACTGGTGGGCCTCAAGAAATTTAACTGAGCCTCGCGGGCAGAAAGTTTGAGAACCCCTACTGTAACTTTTTTTTTGCCCACAATTTATTGTTTAGCTTTCCCCACACCTTTTTCTTTTAAATTATCCTACACAATTCTTCCAGCTTTCAATCCTACTCCACGCATATCTTTCAGTATTGAAGTCCATGATTACCAGTGTGGAGAGTGCTGCTGCAACCCGGCCCTGCTTGCAGGCCTACCATGGGTATCTGGATGACCACTGTGAGAACAGAATGCTGGACCAGAGGGGCCTATGGCTGCTTCCCCATCATTCTTAATTATCTTTTTATCAGAAGACAGCAGATGACTTCTCTTACACCACCTCTATAGTATTCAGAATAATGAAGCAATTTAACTGGACATCTCCGACAAAAAGAAGCACCAAAATAAGATGGTATTTATTGAGCTTTTTGACATAAAGGCTGCATTCCTAAACAAGTTGACAAAAGTAAGTCTCAATGAATTCAGTAAGACTTACTCTGAGGTAAATGAGGTAGGATTACAGCCTAAATTATCTAGTTCCTCTTAAATTCTAGTTCCTCTTTGATCTTTTAGAGATCAAAGGCAACTCTGATTTGAAGCCCAGTATTGCTCCCCTCATACATAGGTTTTAGCTGAAAATAAAAGATTCTTACTTTTTCTCCCTCTCTTCCGTTTCAAGACTGGTATTCTGATTTTCCAAGTCCTTACTCTTTTCATCCTCTTTATGTTCCACATTGGCTTCTTCTGTTTTCAGTATTCTTAATTCCTTTTCCTGGTCAGTGTGCGATTCCTGAAAACCTTTTTTGCTTCCCTAGGAGAAATAAAAACATTGATATAGCTCACAATTAAAAAAACAACAAAACTCTTAGTTTTCAATTAGGGAGAATCTGCACCAGCCATTTTCTCTATTGGTATCTATACTGGATTTGAATTGATTTTATGTATGTGCTGCTGTTGTTTTAAACTCTCTGTCTGTCTGTCTCTCTCTCTGTGTAAACTTTTTAAAAATTGTTTTTATATATGCAATTGTTTAACTGTTTTTATATATGTTGCTGTATTATATATGTTTTAATATATTGTAAATCACTTTCATGAAATAATAACACATCTCTAAGGAAGTACTGCTGCAATTTACATTGGATCATGAATGTTGTCCCTTGATCCATGTCCAGGCTGCTGAAACAGAACCATTGGTTACCTGTGAAGGGTATTTTTTAGTGAAAGGATGTTCTTAGGTAGAATGAGAGCTCCCTCAAGCACTTGCAAGCACCACTGCAGCTAAATTAGAGATTTATCCTCTCAGCTGGCCCCCAAGCTGCAACACCCTGCACTCAACCCACTAGTAAGAAAACATACCAACAACATGTAGCAACAACAACAACGCACATTGAGCAGTTCCCTGCTCCAAAACACAAGGCAATCCAGATACAGATTCAATCCGATAAGAAAAAAACAAATAGTGAATGGTAGGGTAAGGCTATGAAAACATCTTTTCACTCAAAGAAAAGTACTATTCATGTGTCAAAGTTACCCAAAATAAGGTGGGTCCTGGCTGCCTATATGCCTGGAAACACATGGTGAAGCACGTGCCTCTCAAAAGTGCCCCTGCAGAGATGTTAAGTATCAATATGGTAATCTCTTGTAAATGAACAAGGGCTCACCCATGCATAGCACAAAGCATTTAAAGATAATGCTGCAGTCTCATGTATGCACCAAGGTAAAAGGTAAACGACCCCTGGACAGTTAAGTCCAGTCAAAGGCAACTATGGGTTTAGACGCTCAACTCGCTTCCAGGCTGAGGGAGCTGGTGTTTGTCCACAGACAGCTTTCTAGGTCATGTGGCCAACATGACTAAACAACTTCTGGCGCAACAGAACACCGTGACTGAAACCAGAGCGCACGGAAACACCGTTTACCTTCCTGCCACAGCAGTACCTATTTATCTACTTGGACTGGCATGCTTTTGAACTTCTAGGTTGGCAGGAGCTGGGACAGAGCAACAGGAGCTCACCCAGTTGCGGGGATTCGAACCGCCGACCTTCTGATCGGCAAGTCCAAGAGGCTCAATGGTTTAGACCACAGCGCTACCCGCATTATGTATGCACTATTGGTCTGACTGTAATACTCCATGACTTAGGGCACCTCTTTCTTTTGATATGTTTGCATATCTGAAAAGTGAGTAATATTTTTATTCACAGACAATGCCACCTCAAATCCCCAAAAAAATCCTCTTCAGAGGAAGTTTTCATAGGGTTCTAAGGTGCACCCATTCTTTACACAGAGCTTCCTTATCACAATCAATCTGAAAAGAGTGGGAAACTGAATCAGACATCCTTGGGTGGCCCACCTTATACATGAGTGCTTTAGCAGTATCAGTCCTCTCAGCCATGGTATCCATGCCAACAGAGACAGAACCAGGTTTTGTGCCCATGACAGTAAAGGTCAATGCCATCCAGGAGCATGGTGTTTATGAGCTGATTTATATGCTGCCTTAAGGGCTTTAGCCTTCAACTGCTTTATCTTGTCCATAGCCCTAGAGTAGCTGTAGCTGAGTACTGAAACCAAATGGGTGATCAGCAAAAATATTAAATTTAAAAAAGCTACAGAGCTGCTGGAGGAGAACTGTGAAAAAATGTCAGAGTTCCAGAGGGGAGGAAATATCCCCTCCATTGACCAAAAACAAAATTTGGACACTGGGGGTGGTGGGTAGTTCACTTTAAACCAGGGACAAGCAACAGGGGAGGTGGTGAAGGGAAGATACGGAGCAGAAAGAGTGGAAAGTGGTAAGGCACATAAGAAACCCAAAAACTCGCACGCAATCAAGCACTGTACATCAAGACAAAAATTCATGGGACTCCCTAAGAGAGAAACAGCATCAACGCAACCTTCCCCCAAATAAGCACAGAAACACTAATAACAAATGATAAGCAACAATGTCATAAAGATTAGCTCCGAAAACTGTAGACAAAACACAACTCTGAGCAAAGCTGAATGGAGAATGTGAGATACAACCTCAGAACGTAAAAGCAGTAAAAACTGCTGGGAGCTGAAGAGCAGAAACCTCTAATTTAGCTGTGCTAGAGGGAGCTCTCATCCCACCTTACAACATCTCTGCTCAAAGGAAAAAGGAATATAAATATTGTAGGAAACATTGTTCACCCGTAACTTTCCAGATTATTTTTGACCAGGAGAACATCAGGAACATGGAGCTCTGATTTTCCACATGGTGCAAATTGGCAGATCAATTGGCAGCTACAAGGAATTTGTAAGGTCATGTGAATGTAAGGAACTTTCAAACTGTGTTATCAGTTTCGTAGCTTGAGACTTCGTAGCTTAACGAAGCTTAGCAAAAGGAGGAGCAAAGGGTTTGAGGACAAAAGTCTGGTTCGGATTTTGGGACACAATCTCCAAATGTGGTCTAGATATAGCAGACACAACAGTGTTTGATTTCTGCCTAAGCAGAGTTTTTAGGGCCTTCTTTAGAACTCTGCAAGACACCCACAAAGGTATTTCTTCTGTCAAAGTGAACCTGGACTGCAACAGGTTCTCATTAGCTCTGAAAATGACATTAATACTTTGAGAAATGTAGCAAGACTAGCAAACAGTATATTAAGGCTAGAATAAAACGCATTGCTTTATAGGCACAATATCCACTCAAATGATATTTCAGCTTACTTTAACAGAACAGAATGATATATTTTACAAAATCTACGAAAAATAATGGAACAGCTCTTACCAAGGAGGACGTATCATTTTCTTTTCTTTCACTCTCATTCTCAGCTTGTGTGTCTTGTTGTTTCCTCATTACTTCATCATCTCTTTCTTCAGTTTCCACCTTTATTTCTTTTATATTTTGCTCAGTTTCTTCATGCTTCTTCATATCTTTTTCAAAGTCCTTACAGGGCTGGCTCACTATTTTCTCTGGTAATGCCATTTTAAATTCAACATTAGCTGATGTACAGTACTCTTCAAAGCCATAGAGGTATCTAAAAGATGGCAATAACATAATGATTAGTTCACCATAGTTTGGTTTATGAGACAACTGCACTTTTAAGGATGTAAATTAATTTGCTAAATAATGGTTTAAGATTGCTTTGTTTTTTAAAAGAAACCAACAACATGGTACCAGCTCAAAATTGGGTTGTTGTTTTAACTGCCCCAAATGTCAACTTGTTTTTGAAAGAAATACCTGAAAGAAAGTTATGTTGAGTCTGGTTAGTCTAGCAACAGGAAGCTCAGGAATAAAATTTAATAAGCTTCCAAACAAATTTGAAACAGGGCTTACGGTTAGCTGCCAGAACAGCAGACTTGATTTGGGTAGTTACTACTACACATGGCATGATACAGCCAAAATAGATAAAGACACCTTAATTAGAACTGTGTATCCTCCTATCTGGGAGTAAGCCCTGTTGATGTGACATATTTCTGAATGAATACACACGAGTACCGTATTAGGATTGCACTGTGAGAGTACTGGGTTCTTCGCTCTGTGGATGTTTCTGGAAATGCAGGAAATATATGATTTTTGCAAATCCCGCCTTTCTCCTGAAGCCCCTTATACCACCTCCCATGCTGTTCCAGAGATTGTCCAACCCTTCAGAGCAAGGGTTGCAGACAGAAGGGGGACTCGGGGAAAACTACTTTCCCCATTGTTTTGTTCATGGAAGGTTCCACTGAAACAAAGCTGTTCATGACTGAAGAAACACAACTGAATATAGCCCATTATCTTTTTTTTTTTTTCATTTAAATGATGACAGCTTTAAAACAGAATACCTATGCAATGTTTATTTTCGCTGAGATGAAGCATTTAACGTTGAGTATCAAAGCGAGGCACACAATTTTATATATACAGATCTACTTACTTTTTGTATGCACATTTAACATTATATCCAGCGGCGGAGTTCAATACAGGGATCCCAAGATCCTGATACACTTGCTTCCAGACTGCTCCACTTTCAATCTATAAAGCAGAATGAAAGTTGTTATCCCAATAAAAAGCATTATGTCCATGTTTAAATGAATAATTCTGCACAGGTGTCTAAATAAGCAATTTATTCTGAACTTTAAGGGTCTAAAATAGCACACACAAAAATTAGATGCCCATACTTTAAAAGTATTCAAATTCACTTCCATCTCCTGTGCACAGATAATACATATGTATTTTGAAGTAAGTCTGTCTTCTATGGGGTTAACACTCAGATAATTGGGTATATGTAATGACTGCAGACTTCATACTAAACTACTATTACAAGCTGCTTTCTTTTTTAACCTAGAAAAGTCTTAGTGATAGAAAAATTAATGCATAAAAAGTCCTTAGTGTGATGTCCACCTCATCATCTACAAATCTCCTCTCCTAGTGGTTTTGAAGCTGCACTATTAACTTTTCTTCAAATTGCAAAATTATTTCTACTCTGATTAATAGTACTTACATTATCAAATCCTCCAAGCTTATGTACAAGTCTGAATAATTTGAAGAGATTCAAGTTTCTGTATCCAAGAACAGGTCGTTTATTAATAGGAGTCCCTGTGAAAGAAAGTATTTTTGAAGTGTTTCAAGGCTTTTTAGCTTGTAAAGAGCAACTCATATTGGTGTTAATGCACATAAATCAGTTCAGTGTTTCAATCTCAGACTATACCACATATATATACTGTGCAGCTCAATACTCTGAATATTTACTCAGAGGTAATTCCAATGAGGCTTACTCCAGGGAAATGTGCATGCGATTGCAGTTGTGGCCTTATCTTCCTAGTTAACAATCATGTAACAGAACTCATATTACACAGTTTTTCCAAGTAATTGGAAAAGCCATTATCAAATATGTGTGGGCTCCAAAAGTTGCTAAATGGTACAAAGGGAACTTCTTTGCAAAGCTGAGATGAATTAATTTAATTCAGCTTTCTGGTCAAATCCATTCATTCTGCCCTATGATTACTAAAGGCAGTTGGACAACTGGCATTATGATACAGTTCAAAATCAAAATATAATGAAATAATATTTGCCCTGCAATCATTCTTCTCTTCAGGCCTGTGCAACTTGTAACCCACAAAGTTGAAAACACCACACCAGCAACATATGGTAGCCATGAAGAGCTTGATAAACTTCCAATTTTAGCTGCCTGCAAAGGATTGCAAAAGCACCTGGCAGGCCACAAAACTTGGCTGGTGAGCTGTGTTTGGTTTTGGTGGGTTACAAATTGTGCAGGCTCGTATATAATACAGACACACACTCCATAAGTTATTAGTTACTTTGTTGTTTCTTTACTTGCTGCATTTTCCTTCCATTTTAAAATTGGTGTGCTGTTATTATATTTTTACTTTGATATAACCTGTCCAGGGAGCACTAACTGGATGTACATGTAACAGGATACATGTTTTAGAAAAATAAACAAATAACAGGTTTAATATATAAATGAAATATTTTGCTGTACTATACCAGCTAGAATTCATTTTTATTTCCAAAAAGATAGTGCTACTTTTGAACAGGAACAACTTTCAACTGGCCTATCTGATGTAGTGGTTGAAATGGGGCGGGGGGAGTCTTTTTGAACCTTATGGCTGCATTCCCTTCTGGGCAACTTTATGAGGGCAGGACTAGAAGCACAACACAGATGTAAATTTTATCTTTGTACAGTAGGCTAGCTTCTAAACATGCGCACAACACCCCTCGCTATCCTCCATCCAAGCAAGGGAGAATGATTATCAGAGTTCAAGGATACATTCCAGCCAGGGATAAAGCACCATAGGAGGATCTGAAACAAGGCCAGTGTGGCCTGGCAGGGCCCCCAAATGCTAGAAAGAGGCTTGAAGAGTCACATTTGACCAGAGGTTCCTCACCCCTGGGCTGGGACCTAGGAGACCAGGGTTTAAACCCCAACGGAGCTTTGAAACTCACTTTATAAAAAGCAACAAGACAAGTTTTCAGGGGTGTACTACATTCTCGTACTGTACTACATCCCCTATAGCGTAAAACAAACTATATGTTAAATATAATGACATGCTTACCCCTGTCTTCCATGAATTTATAGAGTTGCTGTAAGAAGTTTTCTCTTTCATCTGGAAAGGGTTCTATTTCTTCCTAATTTAAACAATATGGTAACAAAAGCACATGTTAGATTGCCCTGTTAATCGCCACAATTTTCTTTAAAAAGTATTGCAGGGAATTACATTTATATTTTAAAAGTTCAGGAACCATTACATAATGCTTCAGTACTTTGGCTTTGAAGGCAAATGTCATTTCTCTGTATCTTACACTAATAACTGTTTTAAGTGTATTTTAATTGCAAAACGTTTAGTTTCACTATGGGGAGCCATCAAAATACAAATAAATGCATATTTATAGCATAATCTTCTGCATGTCTACTAAGAAGAAAATTGAATGGGACTTGCTTCCAAATAAGTGTATACAGGACTGCAGTCTTAAAGTGCCATAATAAAAACATAAAGCAAATCTGAAATAACAAATTAATTGAAATTTGTTATCTGTTATTTAATTATAGCAGTCAAACTGAAATTCCATTTTCCTCTCCAAGACAAAAATATTTCATTGTGGAGATGGCAACTTTTGCAGAAAGATAAACCAACTTATTTCCAGGGATGTTCCACATATATTTTAGCACCATTTTGAGGGAGGTGGGTTTTTGGGTTGCACTTTTTAAAGTTTCCTTCTTCTTTGTAAACCAACAAAACAACTCCAGTAAAAAATAGAAAAGCAGATGTTGCTGATGTTACAGTTAATCATGTTTGTTAGAAGCGGGATTTAGCAAAACACCAAGTTAATATTAAGGAGGATTCTTAGTCATTCAATGCATGCCTGTGCGGGGTTTGCAGATCATGGTGTGTGTGACTGACTTTTCCCCTACTCTTATATGCTGCTAGTTCAATGTCTTATCCCTAAAGGCTATGGTATCAGCAGAACATTCTTTTTTTTTTTTTACAAACCCAAATAAGAGATAATGTCCCTTCTTTATTCCAGTCAAACACGCTCATTACCACAATTATTCTGCCTATTTCTTGAACTTAAATAAAACTGCAACATATAGGTCATATACCACCCCTGTTGGTAGTTTCCCTGCCTCCCTTGCAGAATTTAACGCTGATCACACACTAGTTTTCTTTGTTGCATAAAGAAAACTGGTTTCCTAGACTAATCAGGGTTCACAAATATGGACAATATACAAGGAAGAGGTATGATAAAGACAATGTAATAAAAGGGTTGATATTGTCTGTGCCACTACTTTAATTCAACAATCAATATACTCCAAACGGGAAATATTCCACGGCTCAACCAAATTACGGTGCTGTACTTGCCTCTTCTTCGCTGCTGTTATCTTCCTTTTCTTTTTCATCTTCCTCCTCCTCTTCTGCTTCGCTACTGGAGCTTTCCTCTTTCAACTCAGTCTTCCAGTTACTGGGAACAGTTTTGTTTTTACGGAATTCTAAGGCTTGATCAAAAGCTGTAAATAGAATTAGCACTGAATGTCAACTTTGCTCTTGCATGTAAAACAAATTTTAAAAAATAGGCCAGTTTGGTAAAACACACAAAAAAGAGAGAAATGGGACTTGTTCAAGTTTTCTCCTTGGGAACGTACTGCTGCAGGCCATATGCCTTTTCCTTGTGAGAAAAAGATGGTAAGTGTGTGAAGTGATCCTACTTTTATTTGAACATGGGATTTCCTCACCCTAAGAGATAAAAAGCCCACCTTTGTTCCAAAGGGGTTTGGCTAACATCTCACAGTAAGCACATTCACCAATCTATGCTTTTGGCATTACAAAACTATCTGCTATAGCTAGATACTATTTTATCAATTTCAAGAAACCTTTAGCAGACTTGCTTGGAGCCACAAGTCCATCAGCCATGGACAAACCCCTGGTATAAGTTCATAACTTTTGTGCATCAAAGTAGTGCCATGTGCTCATTTAATCACAGCTCACCTCTCACTACCTTCTATGATAAAATGGTATAGTTTTATAAATATACAAAATTAAAAGTGCCCTCTGTCCACTATCTGCCTATTTATTTCTGTACATAATTAAAGGTGCTGGTTTTGACTTATTAAGCCTTAAAATGCTTGGAATCAGGGTAAATGAAAAACCACAAATTCCCATCAAAACATGTCTGAGTATTAGGATCAGACGCCCTGTTCACAATGTCCCATCTCCAGAAATATGGTGGGTGGCAGTGAAGGACAGGACCTTTTCAGTTGTGGCACTTCATTTATGGAACTCACTCCCTGTCCATTAGCCTAGCAAATTCTTATAGCTTTCAGGGGTTTTTTTTACAAAGTGGAGGCATCCACTCAACTGATTTATTCTGGCTATTTAAGATAGTATTTAACATGGTCTTGATGGTATTTAATGATGCTTGTTTTGTATGGTTGTTGGCTTTTGTTCTTCCTAGTTCAATTAGATTATTAGCACCCTCCAGAAAGTTTATAACTGAGAGGCAATGCGTACATATTTCAAATACATTAAAAGAATAAGTAATGAAAATTTAGCTGACCCCTATTTACCCCTTCTCTGATATTACAATTTGGGGGTTGCTCTTTTTTTTTTTTTTTGTAAAGATCCCAGCTGGGCTCAGAAGGTGTCTGCAGGATTCATCTCCTGGCTGTCCCTATATCAAAAGCCAGAGACTGCCTGTATGGTTATAACGTGAAGGAGTTGCGTGGGAGAGATGTAATGGAGCCAGACAGGACCAGCATATCAGGTGGCTGCTGACTGGAGAACAGCTGCCAGTCTGAAATTTCATGCTTTTTGTCGTCGTTCTTGAGCTGAACTGCAGGCTGGAATAGAGGACTGCTAATAGTTCACAGAGGTGGGCAACCTGTGGCACTCTAGATGGTGCTGGGCTACTACAACCATCATCCCTGTCCACTGACCATAATGGCTGGGGCTGATGGGAGTTGGAGTCCAGTAATATCTGAAGGGCTACAGATTCCCCACCCCTCCTGTACAGGAGCTTTGGGAAAGCACAGGTGAAAAATACATTGAGTTTTTCTTTCTTTGTGTGAATGCCCAAGGGATGAATGTATGTGGTGTAAATTAGCTGAAGAGGAACAGATTTGGGAGGTAACCTAATTAAAGGAAAATTTAACTGGGAAGTTTGGAGGTGAACTTACTTGGCTCACCTCAGGGGACACCAGCCTGGAGCCTGTGAGTGCCATGGTGCCCACAAGAGTCTTCATTTGTGCTCCCATGCAGGGGCCTCAGACTGAACTTACTTTCTTTTTAGGCAAGTCTCCAGCCCTGCTAGAAACATAGTTATGAAGCGAAACACGCAGGAACACTCTTCCAAGGAATGTCTGTAAAATGAGCAAGCCTGGCTCTCCCACCTGGTCAAGTGTTAAGTGATTGATACCAGGCAGTAGGAATCCTGAGGTCCTAAAGAGCTGCTGCTTCCACTCCCCTTTAATACACTTTTTCCAGCCTACCTCATTTTCTATGCAGAAATTCAACAGGTTAAGCACTCTCTCTAATTTTGTGTGAGGCCATGCTCCCCATGGCAGCCATTTTGTGCTTTGCTCACACCCCTAAGGCAGCCATCTTATGACAGAACCCTTTCAAAATTCAAAATGTGTTTCTTGGTCCAAAAAGGAAGGCAACTCCTGTTCTTCTTTATACTTAGGTTCTGGTTTTGGGTAAGTCACTCATCTATCAGCTTCAGTCATTCACCTTCTTTAAAATGGTTTGTGCAGCAACAAATGTGAGATCACAGAAGTAGTCTGGTGTTTAAGACAAACTTTCTGCCTGATATTTTCTTTCAAGCCTTGGGCAAATCACTGATCTCCATTTGGTCTAGCACTCTGGTTGCAAACATTGGTCAGTCAAATCCCAGTGCGAAGCTTATAAACAGGTCGTGAAAGGAACAAATTCCCCTGCTGTTTGTCCCCAGCACCCAGTATTCACTGAATGTACTCAGTGAGTATACAATTCAGAAGTATACTACTTGAGAACATGAAGGTTCCATTTAGCTATCATGGCTAATAAGAGGAGCTTTCTAGGGTAGGGAACAGGAAAGAGCAACTTTGAGTGGGCCGAACTGCAGGAAAATATGGTAGGAATTGTTTAGCAGTTGGTGGGACATGTAGCACCCTCATGTTTTGGTAGCATAGCTGCCCCTCATAGTGTGTGCCAGATTTCTAGCCAAATTCAGCTGAAAAATGCTATCTTTTCTTAATTCTATATTGTCTTTACCTTGCTTTAATGCAGCATCAGGCTTTGGTGAAGAATCACTAATCTCTCGAACATCTTTCCTTGGTACGGAAGAGCTAATAATAATAATAATAATAATAATAATAATACAGTATTACAAAACTTTTAAAACAAAAAATGTAAAACACTTTAATAACAAATCATTCTTTCCATCCATGGATCAAACATACCATCCTGGTATTTTCAAAAAAAACCAGGTCCATAACCATTATAATTAAGATAAACCTTGTCTGCTGTTATTATGTTCATTTAGCAAGAGTATCAAGAAGGTACTGATTCCTGGGTCCATTACCAGAGCAGATTTAATTCTGTGCAAGAGCTTTCAATCCAAGCTTTCTGTGAGAGGAAAGCAGTGGGAACAGACAATTGTATCCATGGCAGCTGCTTAACAGTACAATCCTTACAAAAACCCTGCCTTCTTGTGTCAAGCAAGAAGACAAACAGGAGGTGGGTGAGTAGTTCACACCTCTCAAAACATGGCTCCTCAGTCCTGCCTTCCAGAGGCAGAACCTAACCCACCTAGGAATGTCTGCCTCTCAGTGAAGGGAGAAAAATGGCTTTATAAAAGGAGACAAGACTGACATTTCCTTGTTGATACTTTCTTAAAGAAAAGAAATTCTTCTCAAGTGAAAAAGTGGCATGAATCAGATCAGAAATGGGCCCGCCATTTACACTATTTTGAAGCCAGCTGAAATAATACTGTGTTACTGTGATTTACACTGATACACAGGCATGTTAACCAAATCAAGAACAGACTATTTAGAAATTGTCCATCACAAAAACAAACTTTGACATATAGAACAAGTATGTAAAGCGGCCACCCTTTGACTTATACAGCTGCACAAAATTGCAACCTGATTCCTAACACATATGCTAGGCACTCTATGTAAGTGGCATGAGTGGGGTGGAAGGTAGAATGAACAGTTGGTTTGTGCTTCCTGTCCCTCCCTCTTACTGGCATTTAAAAATAAAGCCCTATATATGTCATGTCAGTGAGTAGAAATGACAGATTGTATTAGCTAGTTGGTATAAATAATGACACTGGAAATATTTCTACTCACAATTTGCCATCCTTGAAAGAACGAACCAGAATGTTATCCTTTTTGACTGCAATTTCATCACTGCAGTCTGGACAAACCACCTGCATAAAAAGAAAGGAAATACTTAAAATATTTTATATCAATATTTGGTACCATTCTGAGATATTTCAACGAAGATACTTTTTGTTCATATTCTAGAGTTCAAAAAATTGGTCACAGAGGTGACTGACTGCCCCTGTCATGGATGCTCAGCACACACAAAAATCCTGCCCAGAGTTCTCTGAAAACTTCAGGGAACTTGTGTGAAGGCTGCCTTCCATTGTGCCATGCATGAAAAACAAGGCTTTGCTCCTCTCCAAGTGTTCTAACCTATGCAGAGAATTCAGGGGAGGGGAGACGATGTGGTCTTATTTTGCAGTGGGCTTTGAAGAAACAGAAGCAACAAGGAGGACAGGACTTGCATTCTACCTTCTCCTTAAGTCCAGCACTGAGTGAGATAAAAGGCACACACACATTTGCCTGAGTCCTCTGTATACACAGAGGACTTGGGGGAGAGCCCTTTCATCTCATTTCCCACAGCGCTTCAGAGAAAGAAGCGATGCTCCTTTACACTGCTTCCTCAGTGTCTGGTGCAGAAGTGAGGGAAGGCAGAAGCCCCTTGCTGCCTATGCTTCTGAAAAGCCCAGCAGCAATTGAGATACCAATCTTTCCTCTCTTCAGAGTCTTCTAGGGGACGGTGGGTTAGTAAGCTAGGAAGAAATTTGTGTACCCCTTTTCACTACTGATTTCACAAAGAGTTTAAATTGCTCAGCAACTTCAGCCAAATATAATCACCTACATCATATGAATTAAGCCACTTGTTAAATTACCTTCCCTATTTAAAACTGGCACATTGCTTCTAAGATCTTTGATTTGCCTTATTTCAGTTTCTAAAAATGCGACCTTATGGTGCTTTTGGCTAAGTCACAATCTTCCATTAGAAGCACGAACCTAATGCAACCTTCTTCTAGAACATTATCAAGTAATATTTCATGCTTCAGCCATTCTTTTATAATGAATGTGACATGTGCATTGCTTCTGAAAGCCAAAACAATAAATTAAAAATAATGATGATTTATTTAATGTCAACTGTACAGTTTAGGATCTCATTTACAGTTCTGCAAATATTCATTAAAATTTATGAACAAGTTTTCTACCAGCGACCACTTATATGCTTGTAATTAATGTGACAAGATTTACACAATTTTGGGGGGAGGGGGCATTTTATTTTAAAAATGTTAAAATTCTCAAGTAAGTAAGTGTAAAAAGAATTCCATGCAGCAAAAGGATTGATAAAAACATTCCTGACTCAGGGTCAATCTAGTCTAGCCTGTTTTCCTAACCTTGGCTAGCCAGATGCTTTCAGGAAGCCCACAGGGAGGGAATGAAAAAAGTAGCCCACTGCTGCTGTTTCTCCCTAGCAACTGGTACACCACTTCAGAATACAGATCCAGCATGTTTTGCAGCATAAAATAAGAACAATACAGCAGCTTTTGCCTTTGACCTTCTTATGCAATTGGAAGCTGGACTAATAGCATGGAAAATAAAAGGGACCATAAAATAGGTAAAAAGAAAAGAAGCAGTGCTCTGTTTTACATTTTTTTAAAAATTCTGCTTTATTGTATACAGACTGACTTGGCACTTATGTGTTAAAAACTGCACAGTTTTTGCAATATGTGCACTTTATGAAGTTACTGCCCTAGAATTGTAGATAGTAAGACTATTCTGACCTTGTTTAACGTGGTGGTTTTAAATTATGAAAGAGGAATATCTCAAAGCGCAAAATATAATTTATAGGTACTTTTCTCTCTCTTCAAAATAAAGCTATTAAACAATATAAAATTGAAACACTTGCCAAAGCTGGGAACCAGAGGTTTTTCTTTTTATCCGCACTAACGTAGTCTACACAAACAACTTTTCCTAACAGTTCATCAGTTTGTTTTCTGTCATCTTCATCTTCATCACTTGAGGATGAGGAAGATTCTTCTTCTGGGCTATAAGGAAAAGAGCTCCAAGTTAAATTGTGCTATATAGTTCAGAATTTTGATTAGGGTCAAACTACAAATGAACTTTAGCTTGGATTTTGGGAAGTGGGGACTGCTATAGGGTCCATCACTTTCACTCTCACTTTTCATTCTTTCCCAACCCCCAACAGTGGTGGTACAGTGATAGCAGTCTCCCAGGGGCGTGAAAGTAGTCTTCCATGCTGGTAGCCACCAATGCCCTTGGAATGACACTACATCACATAGTATTATTCTGAGGGGAATTGCGAGCAAGTAACAAATGGTAGCCACCAGTTTTTAAATCCCCATGTGAAGGACGAATTCACATATGATGGTCAGCCTTCTAGTGACTCAGAAACCAATCAGGGCTGGGTGGATTGTCATCCAATCAGTTAACAGTCAGAACCTGACAGTTTAACTGGGTAACCATTTGAGGCAAGTAACTGGACAAAATACATATGTCATAATTATTGGAAATAAAGGAATCAATCTTGTTCCCAAAGCTACAGTGGTGCCTCGCAAGACGAAATTAATTCGTTCCGCAAGTCTCTTCGTCTTGCGGTTTTTTCGTCTTGCGATGCACAGTTTCCCATAGGAATGCATTGAAAATCAATTAATGCGTTCCTAGGGAAACCGCCTTCAGACCAGGTCCGGGGACAGACTGTCCCCCGACCTCTTCTGAAGGCTGGGGGGGGGGGACAAGGGCTTTTCTTCCCACTGCCAGCATTTTAAAAAACCCTGGGACAGCGGAGGACTTCTCCGCTGTCTGGGCGATCTTAAAATGCTGGCGGGCGGCATTTTAAAATCGCCCCGGGACAGCGGAGGACTTCTCCGCTGTCCGGGGCGATTTAAAAGCCCCTGGGAAGGCAGGCAGGGGGGACAATGACTTTCGCCCCCCGCCCGCCTTCAGAAGGTGTTCCCGCCCCCCCCGGCTTCGCAGCAGCGCTACGAAGCCCGGCGGCTGGGGCAGGTGTTCCCGCCCCCCACCCGCTTCGGAGCAGCGTTCCGAAGCGGGGTGGCTGGGGCAGGTGTTCCCGCCCCCCGCCCGGCTTCGCAGCAGCGCTACGAAGCCCGGCGGCTGGGGCAGGTGTTCCCGCCCCCACCCCGCTTCGGAGCAGCGTTCCGAAGCGGGGTGGCTGGGGCAGGTGTTCCCGCCCCCCGCCCGGCTTCGCAGCAGCGCTACGAAGCCCGGCGGCTGGGGCAGGTGTTCCCGCCCCCCCACCCGCTTCGGAGCAGCGTTCCGAAGCGGGGTGGCTGGGGCAGGTGTTCCCGCCCCCCACCCCGCTTCGGAGCAGCGTTCCGAAGCGGGGTGGCTGGGGCAGGTGTTCCCGCCCCCCGCCCGGCTTCGCAGCAGCGCTACGAAGCCCGGCGGCTGGGGCAGTGTTCCCGCCCCCCCACCCGCTTCGGAGCAGCGTTCCGAAGCGGGGTGGCTGGGGCAGGTGTTCCCGCCCCCCGCCCGGCTTCGCAGCAGCGCTACGAAGCCCGGCGGCTGGGGCAGGTGTTCCCGCCCCCCACCCCGCTTCGGAGCAGCGTTCCGAAGCGGGGTGGCTGGGGCAGGTGTTCCCGCCCCCCGCCCGGCTTCGCAGCAGCGCTACGAAGCCCGGCGGCTGGGGCAGGTGTTCCCGCCCCCACCCCGCTTCGGAGCAGCGTTCCGAAGCGGGGTGGCTGGGGCAGGTGTTCCCGCCCCCGCCCGGCTTCGCAGCAGCGCTACGAAGCCCGGCGGCTGGGGCAGGTGTTCCCGCCCCCCCACCCCGCTTCGGAGCAGCGTTCCGAAGCGGGGTGGCTGGGGCAGGTGTTCCCGCCCCCCGCCCGGCTTCGCAGCAGCGCTACGAAGCCCGGCGGCTGGGGCAGGTGTTCCCGCCCCCCCACCCCGCTTCGGAGCAGCGTTCCGAAGCGGGGTGGCTGGGGCAGGTGTTCCCGCCCCCCCGCCCCGCTTCGGAGCACCGGGAGAAGCGATCTCCCCGCAGCCCCTTGCTTCAAAAGAGGTCGGGGGCAGACCTCTTTTGAAGCAAGGGGCGGTGGGGAGAAGCGATCTCCCCGCCGCCCCTTGCTTCAAAAGAGAAGACCCGCTGTCCCCGGGGCAAGCTTCGTTTTGCGAAGCAAGCCCATAGGGAAATTCGTCTTGCGAGGCAACTCGAAAACGAAAAAACCTTTCGTTTTGCGAGTTTTTCGTCTCGCGAGGCGTTCGTCTTGCGGGGTACCACTGTATGCAAGTCTCACTAAGAATCCTGATACAAACAAAGTAGCAAGTGAAAGAAAAACCTGTTGATTTCAAGCTGTATTAAAACCAACTACAAATACATTGTGTCTGCAAATGAGAGGAGAGTACAGACGAAACAAAACTTTAAACAGTACTATTAACAAAAACCAAGATTAGTCAAGAATAAGCCATTATCGAAGTGCTTGTATTCACAGTGCAATTGGCAAGGATTCTTCAGTGGAAAGGTTTCTGGTACATCTTTGCAACTTTTTGAAAAAAAGATACAAACAGTGTTTTGCCATATGCAAACACACACAAAAAGAAATATATTCTAATATAGGTGCTTCATTACATTTGCATTTATGTCTCTATTTCAATGTTTAACTCTGTTTAACTCTGCTGAGTTAAAATTCAGAGAACAGCATCTCTGTCACCTGTGCCCCCCATAACCTATGTCCATAACATGGTATCGATGACTACCCCCATTTTTTTCTGAATGTGCCATATAGTATACAACAAAAAATATTTAAATAAAGAACAGCAACAAGATCCAATACCCATATCCAGTAGTAGCAGACTTGAGTAGCCTCTCTTCAGCCCACTACTAAATACAAGGGGAAAGTTGTACTTACACTAGGAGTTCAAGGCTGATTCTACCTTACAACTACCAGCACGTGAAGCCAACCTCCAAAAATAACAAACAGTCAATTCAGGACTGTCTAAAAAGTACCTCCTTATATAGACATATCTTACTTATGACCGGGCATTCACTGCCACAGTATCTAATGATGGCCACTGGCTTAGATATAATTTTAAAATGAGGAACTCATGCAAGATCTTTTTACAAATGGCCAAACTTCTAGGTTCAGAAGCAGTATGCCTCTGAGAACTAGTCGCTAGGAAACAGAAAAATAGTTTTGTTGTGTTTATGCCCTTTTTGTGTGTTACGCTGAAGCACCTTATTGTCCACTGTGGGAAAGAGGATGCTGGACAAGATAGGCCTTTACTCTAACCCAGTAGGATTCTTCTTATGTCACTCTAAGATACACTGGGCCAGCTGTGGCCTTGTCCCACGCCATTAACAAATTTGTCTGGGGTTTTTTTAATAGCCCTTATGTCCTGCTTCCAATACACATTGGGCCACATAACAGCACTTTCAGTTTAAATTATGTGGTACATTTCTACCAACTTCAAACTACCTGCTGAAAATTAAGATAATAACAAATCAACAAACAATGACAAACAAAAACAACTTACATGTGATTTGATCTCCTTCCTCTATTTGTTTTCTTTCCTATGACAGGAGTCCCAAAATGTTCAGGGTTGGTAAGTGGGAGCTGATCTAGTGTCTGTTGAAAAATACATTACATTTATCACCATTTGAACTGACTCAGGAATTTTCATCAACAAAGTATGTCTGAATATTAATGAATGCATTACATAGCACTGAAAACTGCAATTAAATTAAATTGAAAAGTGATCTTCTGGAGTAGCCAATGGCTCGGATTATACGTAATGCTAAACCACAGTTTAGTGCTATATGGACAGGACTCCAATAGCTTGAGAGAAATGCTTCCTTATTTTCCTCCTGCACAGTTAGGAGGAGGACTTCTGCAGAGTATAGGGTGTCCCCCCTCCCCCCGCAACCAATTTTGGTTTAGCATAATATGTAAAATCATGAATTCTAGTTTAGAACAAACAGTAACTAACTGCCCAACAAGCCAACTTCAAACCATGGATTTATTGAGACTGACCAGAATATGTTGTAACCCAAGATTCCAGGCCCAGACATAATGCTAAGCCAAGATTCTTTGAAAGAGAAACTACACTTGGCAAAAGTCCACATGCAGCAGAAGAAGAGACGGAGCATTTGGATGTTAGGCAATTCCAACAAAATTCTGGAAGTGCTTTCCATAGCACCAGCCTTTTACAAGGTTTTTTTTTTTAAAAAAAGTAAATTTTCATTTATGAGTCGCTAGGCAACATACAACAGCAAAAGAAACAAAATTATAAACAAAGCAATTCAATTATAAAACAATAAAACCAGCCCAGCAATACCTCAGCAATAAGATCCAGTCATAAAATCCAACTCAGCATAAAACAGATGTAAACCAGCCACCAGCAACTAATTCAATTAGCGGCTACACTCATATCCACTCACCTGGAAGTAAGGCTCATTGAACTCAATGGGACTTACTCTTGAGTACACATGCATAAGTTTGCACTGTGAAGAGCAACAGTTCTCAGTTGCTTATGCATTTTTTGTTTTTCTGGAGAGGCAGCCACACATGTTAGCAATTTTCAGTTGTGAATTCATAGACTCTGGAGTTACTTACCAGGTTACTATGGTGTAGAATGGTTTACACAAAAACATCAAAGTGTAGAGACTATAGCTTAAGAAGTTAACCAGAAATTAACTTCTCTCTTGATAGAGCAGTAAATATTATATACGTTTTCACAGCTAATTAAATGCTTGGGTTCCCTGTTATAGAATTTATTTGTCCTGTGGACATGCTGATGTTAGCTATTTGTTTTTAGTCTGATTTACATAAGCATGCTTGTATACATTTAACATACACATTATCATCATTGAAAGCAAACATATTTAAGCATATTTTGTGTTAAAATTTGTATTGTACAAATGGCACATCTTCTCTGCTCCACTTTCCAGTCAACAAAAAACTAATCTGGGAGTAAACGGTATTTTGGCTTAAGACACGGTAGCATGAACTTATGACTTCAACAGCAAGGTCTCCTCAATAAGCAGTAATGATTTCTTAGACTCACATCATGATCCATTATTTTCAGAAAGCCATGTTACTACATTCCTTTAATTGGGATAACATGCCAGATTCCTTCAACATAACTAAATAAAATTCAGAATAGCATGGATCTACAAAAAGAAGCTAATTCTCATTTAATCAGAAATACTTACTTCACTTTCAGCAAAATGTCTCTCTCCTTTCAGGCATAGCGAAGAACGTCTAAGAGTTTTTTCATCTCCATCATCAAATACTGATACCAAACATAAAAAGGAAACACAAATTATTAATCTATTTGTCCAATTACAATTAAAAACAAGCAAATCTTGTTTTATGACTTAAAGTTGATTCAGTAGAGACCAAGTACAATTTAAGTCCTATTCACTTAAACAGTAACTAAGAATGAACTATTCCTAAATGTGCTTTGGCATCTACCCAAAGTATGACAGGAATATATTGAACAGAGTGTACAGAGTGTACAAATTTAAAAAATGTGTCTGTGCATGTGTATATATAATTTTTAATTGTATGTTTAATGAAACCAACCCCTGTGCAAGGCATAATACTCTTAAGAGGATTGATCAGTGATAAACTGATGAAGGCCAAGCTATTTATTAAAGTAAATCAACAAAGAACTCAAGGCATTCTCTTTCACTTTTAAAGAGGTTTTGCCCATTACTATAAATTCATTGCAATCTATCAGGCATAATTTATGAACTTTCTAAGGACTCAACCATTAGTTATTTGTATAACCAATTGTAGTAGTAGAGCTTAAAAGAATTATTAGCCTATATTTTTGTGTCATCTGGCAATATCTTTTATAGAATTCAAATTAAGTGACCAGGATCCAAAGGACTACGATTCACAGGCTTTTCTGCTCCCTTACTACAATCCTCCTCCTTTCCCCAAAAGCAACTCATGAAAGGTCAAGGGATCCCCTGGAGCACAATTTGACAAGTGGATGCATCCAGGGAAGATCAGCAACCTGCCTATTTGTGGACAAAAGCACTTTCTGCTCATTCAACAAATTCCCAACCAATATTTATATCATGCACTTAGACAGTACTCTAAGAGCACATTCTTCTAAACGACTTGTCAACTTGAAACTGCAATTCCAATTTATAAGATTACAGCATCCAAAATCAAGCCAATGCTCCATGGAGCCCATAATCCTATTATTTAAACTGGTGTCTAAATACTTCTCTATTTTTAATACATCCTTAAAGGGAGTTACTGAAGAGTAAAGTGTAGATGACACAAAATATCACTAATTTAAATAAATGCACTATACTTTAACAATATGTTTCTGCATTTTCTACTGTCAATGCATTCTGTTTACAAGGTTGACATGTATAACACACTGAACAGATATTTCATAACCTATCCTTGAATAATAGCAGCCTAGACAAAATCAGATTTTGAGAAGAAGAAAAATAAAAATTCTCTTTTCAATGTCCATCACTAATAATAATTCCCCATATTAGTCAGTCAAAGCATTAAGATGTACTTTGGCATTCAATATTTCATAAAAGGACAAAATGTTAATAATGGGAAACATTATTTTTGGTTTTTATGGAAGCCGCCCAGAGTGGCTGGGGAGGCCCAGCCAGATGGGCGGGGTATAAATAATAAATTATTATTATTATTATTCCATATGAAACTCTTGCAATCTTAATGTTTTTTGCAATTTTGTACTCTAGGGAATTAGGCTGTGTAGGTGTTTTTCTTCTTGAGAGTTTTGCACTGCAGAGTCTGGAGATGGCTCAGTAAGGGACAATATTCCAATTTATCAATAAATTACACAAGAGTTTATTTGTGTGTTGCATTATCTTTTTGCAGACATGTGTAAAAGCAGTGTAAAATCTACACCTTGGTCAGTGTAAAATCTACACCTGGGATCATGGTGCGTTTCAGCCAGACAAAACAATTAACGTGAAGGTCATGCTTTGTTGTTGGCATAGCAATCATGGTTTGCTGAGTGAAACAAACCAGAATCCCAGGTTTGTATGTACCTCTAAGCTTGGCTGTTTGTGCTTTGTTTATCTACTGTAGAAAGAAGGAGGGAAATGGGAACACTAGGGATGTGTGCACTAGCACACAGCTCATGCCTGATTTGTGTGCAAAACCAGCCTTTGTAATATTGTTTGCATTTTTAATTAAAAGCAAAAGGCTGAACTTATTGAAAAGTCTTCGTTAAACAAATGTTGAATGTATGCATGTTTACTCAAAACTAAGAAGTAAGTTCAAGTGGAGCTCACTCTCAAATAAGTACACTTTGCATTGCAGTCTTAAAATCAAATTTGTAAGCTGGAAGCTAGGCAGTGTTTTACAAGAGAAAGAGCTACTGGTTTTTTCCTATCCAGCCCTCCATGAATCTGAAAACTTTACTCATAAAAAATAAATAAAGGAACAAGGCTTATGGAAATATTAATTAACTCTGGAAATGCATGCATATAAGTTTTGCATCTTGAGAAATGTTATCTTTTCTTAGTAGGCATCAATATTAAAGTGATACATATTTGTCATGAAGGCTGTTGGAAGAGGAAACAAATCATCATCCTGAAGGCCCTGAATTGGCTTACCAACTAGAACTATAGTTTCATCATTAATTCTAATTTTAAATCAACTCCAAAAATGTAGCTTGGAAAAACCTGCATCTAAGAAGTAGGCGCACTGTGATTTCTCATATGTTAAGTCTTTAGTCTTTTTCTAGATACCACAGGACTCATCGAAAATTAAATGTCCCTTTTTCTTGCCCCCTCTTTCTTAGACAGTAAATTAATATGAACATGTTATTAGTCAAATTCTCATAGCTGTCAATGTTTCCCTTTTTTTAAAAGGGAAATTCCCTTATTCCAAATAGGATTCCTGGCAAGAAAAGGGAAAAGTTGACAGCTATGAATTCTACACTTTCCCCACATGTTGTGGTTGTAACAGAAAACAGCAGTATAAATACTATTCAATATTATAAATTTGAATAAAACTATTTTTGTATGGCAGGGAACACTCTTAAAATTTCAACAGGTGGGGGAAACCCTTTCAAACGTTGTTGAATAATCTCAAACTAAAACTAAAAACCCCCCACCAATTTGCATAAATCTGCATTATTCTATTTTCTTTTGCCATATTTTCTTCATTTTCCCCATTCTCATCTCCATGCCTACTGCCTGTTGTTGTCAAGCAGCAAGTCCAAGAATATTCTTAAGAAGCCATATATAGATTTCAATTAAAGTGATAATTTTGAGAGTAAGAAAAATATAAAAAACAAGAACTCAATTCCACTACTTATTATGGAAGAAAAAACACATATTTTTCCTGACCTGTAATTTTTGGATTGGTGAAAAATGGAGTTGTTTTTCCTTACCTACAGTGTACCAACTAGCATCTGTTAATTTGTTGATGACAGCCTCCTGATATGTTCCATCTGGATTCCTTACTTCCACCACAGTTCCTACCTAAAACATAAAAGCCACTTAGGTAATCTCCAAGGCAATAATTAGAAAATATTGAACATTTCATTTTTTATTCTTTTAAATTCAGTTTCTGCTCTCAAAAACCAATCTACAGATAAAGTGTGTGTGGCTGCATTTTGGGGGAAGGGGAATTCTGAAAAACATACCATCTTCACACAAGGCTTTGTAACATGCCTCTGAGGCAATCTAATGTATGTCAGGTTTTACTTTTCAGACTTCAAACTATATATCTATTTGTACCAAGAGGGTGCCTTTTAGAACTACTTAATAGGATCATTCCACAAGTGAATTTTTTCCCCATTCAAACCAAGAAAGCTGTAAATATCAGAACATGCAATGTAGAAAATTATATGAAGGCATCTTTTAAAAAAATGACAAAATATGTTCTATGATGAAGATTCAAAGAGAACTGTGTGCAAAGAGATGGGCAAATGGGGCAGATGGTCAGTTTTCTTTTCTGGCTGCAGTCCTTCCTGTTACACTGGTCAGGGATGATGGAAGTTGGACTTCAGGAAAAAAATATGGGAGGACCAAAGGTTGCCCACACCTGCTATGGAGGGTGATGATCTCCTGACCTTCAGGAGTACCTGGGCAGGGGAGATGAACAGCCATGGTGCACTCACAATACACTTTGGATCCTGGCCTACAGAAGTTGTAGTTTTGAAATTCTCCTCCAGATGTTATCTTATACCTTTAAATATAACTATTATAACCAATAATCCGGAACTCAGATTTTAAAAAAACACTAGTACATATGGTACAAGTTCATGAAAAAACAGAGACATACATTACTGACTTCCACCAAAGTGAACACATAGTAACATGACTGCTCAGACATGGCTGGAATGTATAACACACCTGCCCAAACATTCAGTGAAGTCATTATTTATGGGACACACCACCTTTGGTTGGATCCAGTGAACAGAAGAGCTTTTTGGGACTAAGATCTAGTGGAAGCCACCACTGGAGGAAGGAAAGGAGATAATTATCACCATTTCCTCTTGGAGTCCCCTGTGCTACCTATTCTGAAGGGTCCTTCAACCCACCAGAGCGGGGGGTTGGGGTTGGTGGCAGGGCGGATATGAGGCTGAAAGGGGAAAGATAAATCAGTGAAAACTGTATCCCCCTTCAGAAATGTCCTATGAGTGGAGCTCCACTCATGAAAAATCTGGATTCAACTCAGTATATAGAACTATAAGCCAAAGAAAATCAATTAATTAGCATAGAACTGCTACCCTGGAGTAGACAAAAATTATGCTTAGAAACAAGTGTTTTTTTATGAGTCGGTATGCCTAAATTATTTTTTAAAGACAGCTTTCCCAACTTTTACCCCAAAATGCTTCCAAAAGGCACTTTTCAGAAATGCTGATCTGCCTATTACTACTTCCTTACTGCCAGCAGATGGTGAACAAGAGCTAATGGTCAAAGTTATTCCCTAGAATAGTTGCCTAAAACAAAAAACAAACTTCTTTCTACCATGTCTTTAAAGTCTAAATAAGTAGGCACTGATGTTTCAATTTCTCTGAATCTCAAAGATTAAAGAAAGAAAATCTCTAATCATTATAGCTATTAGATTTTTGAGGATGACGGACTGAGAAAGTCACCCATTTTCTCTCTAAAGTAGTATTTTAAATATTCCTATAAAAAAAAAGCTGCATGCCTCTTTAAATTAACCACCATATTTCCTTTCTGTCTCCTGTCTTATGCTACCTGGAGAGTTCCTATGAAAGTAGCAATTAATATTATAGAAAACAAAAAGGAAACTACATTTCCTCCATCATACTACCACTTGTTTTACATTTCAATGGCAGTTACCATTCATTGTTCTCTAGAAGGAACAATATTTTTCTGCCATGTGCTGTTTTCATTATTAGACCAGTGACTGCGGAGCTTTATTCAACAACTTAAGGAATCAGCAAGTAAAACACACACCATTTCAGTAAAGTCTAATGGTTACACTTGCTTATTTTAGGGTAGGAATGAGAAACCTCCAGCCTGTTGGCACGCTTTGCCCACCAAGCCATTTCCCCCAAATCACGTCCATCTGTCCATAAGCTGACATCATTTTTTATATCACCTGATGGGTAGGAGGGCAGAGTTAAATCCTGCATTGGCTTGTTTCCACCAGGAAACAGGGAAACACACCCAAAGCACCAGGATTTAACTCCCAAACATATTCTTTGCGTCACACCACGAAAAGTGAAACATGTTGCAAGAAAAGGGATAGCAGGTCATCTCTGGCTGAAGCAGGATGTGCTTATGAGAACTCCATTGAATCCTGGAAGACCTGCTCCCTGCCTTGCTGGCCTTTTCCCCACCTGTCCTGGGAGGGCAGGGTGTTGACTGACTCCTGCTACAATAGCTGAGGCTGCTTACGCTGGGGTGTTGCCTAGGGGGGTTGTTGGGGAGGGGGGTTGTTGCTCTTATTGATATTATTTATTTTGCATCTTTTTTTTAGATACTATTATTAAAGTGGATCTTTTTTCAGTTTTGTTTTGTACTTTTTGGCGTTTTCTTTATTGTTGATGACTACATATGTATTTTTCTTATGTTGTAAGGTGCCTTGAGCATAGCTTTAACTATGGAAAGGCAGCATATAAATAAAAGCATTTAAGTTTATGAGAAGTCTCTAAACTATTCATTCTTCTGGTTGCAACCAGGCATATGGTCTTGTTTACGCAGCACCAGCCAGTGAATCAGTGAGCTGAGCAGCACTGCTAGAAGCTGCTGACGGGGAGATAGGATAGTTCTTGTCATAAACATTAGGAGCTGGTGCTGAAGCAAGGGGTCTCACAGTCTGCACTGTGAAAGTCTGTGTGTGTGTGTGTGTGTGTGTGTGTGTGTGGTTGCTGACTGCCAGTATAACAACCCCTTTTGCTTGTCAGCAACAGTGTACTTCCACAGTGCTGATCACAATGCTCCCCTCCCTCCTAGCACATGCAGATAACAACAGGAATTCCCTTCTCTCTTCACTGCTCTGCAGCAGCAACCAACAATTCCAACTAACAAACAGCTTTGCTGGCAGCTACTGGATTTAAGGAAACCTTTCCAACAACTGTGGGAGTGAGCAAAGTATGCAGCTGCATCAATATAGTCAAGGCCACTGTGGGTAGCAGTCACTGTCTGTCCCATTAAAACTAAAATTTTGATACTGCTTAAAATAATAAATTCATTGTTAATCTCAAAGCCAACACTATATATTCCATAAAAAGTAATATTTGCAGGCATGCAGTTCTGAATGTAGTTAATTGCAAACTATGTGTTTTAGATGTGCCAAACAACTGGAAAACAGAAAAAATACATGGATTTTAATGAAAGATCTGTGAGGAGAAACTGACAGGAATTTAAGTATCCTGCTCATTTGTCTTCATGGCAAAATTCACAAGATTATCCATTCCCAACACATTTTCCTACACTTATTCATTCACTACAATAATTTCAAGAAATTTACGTAAATAAAGAATCATAGAATCACAGAATTGTAGAGTTGGAAGGGACCACATGGGTTATCTAGTCCAACCCCCACAGACTAGAATTGTCCTGGACTCTAAAAAATTACCCAGCCAGGCACTTTCCTTAACATGCTCAGTCAAAAATCTAATAGCTATTAATGGGGGCTCAAGACTTTAGTCCTTGTACAGCAGCCCCTGAACCACATGATAAGCACTTTTCAAACTGAGGGGTGTACCAAAAGCAGTTTGTGATAGGGGATGGGGATGTGGTCCAGCGGTTCAAAGGGGGTGCGGGAGACTTAAATTCAAAAAGACTAACACAGGTCCCTTGCATGACTCTCCGCACAGCATGCTAGACCTGGCCTAAATTTTTCATCAGAAGAAATGACATAAGCTACGCCAAGACACCGTACAGAACACTTGATCCGAGATCCAAAGAGGCCAATAAGTGAACAGAAGACACTTCCACATGTGCATAGCAATGTGTGTTGTCAATTCCTGGCACACATATTGCACACCATTCTGTACTTTCCCCTGACCCTCAGGAGTGGCTTTTCTGGGCTGGGGAAGGGAAGCCCAGGAAGCTGCAGTGAAAAGGAGAGGCCAGAACACTGTGTGTTATCCTTTGGATCCCAACCCATTTATTTGCAGAATCTGTTCTATCACTGTATGTACCATGCCAGAAACAAGCTACTCTACTTAAATTCTATCGATCAGAACAGCTCAGATTTTAATACTATGCAAACTATATTATATCCTGCTTAAATAATAACTGTTCATTCTTCACAAGGTAATTGTGGTGCAATGTAGTAGGATTATTCAATAATTACACCTAACTTTATATCTATATATACATCACTGTAAATATATTGATTTGTTAGGAAATATTTTTCATGGTTAGTCATTCAAATATATTACCTTTAAAGGGCCTTTTATGTGATCATCCTGAACTTCCACAGTTGATGAATCATGCCTAAATGTTACCTGCAAAGCACAATTTAAAGGATTGTTAAAACAGAGCAAGTGTATGTATAGCTATCTTTACTATTTATTTATTTAGGATGTTTCTAGGCCACCCTTCATTATAACCAATCTTGTGGTGGTGAACAATACAATTAAAACTCATCCAAATTGCAATTTTAAAAATCCACTTCATAATAAGAGCAAATATGATTAAAGCCCAAATCATTAAAATACAGGCCTTTATTCAAGGACAGAGTGGGCCTCCAACCTCCAGCAATAAATAAAGCTAATATCCTACAATAGCCTGGGCAAGTGAATAGTTTTTTCACTTGGCAACAAAATGAAAAAATAATAGGCACTAAATATACATCTAACAGAAGGGCATTCCACAACTAGGGCACACCCGTTTTCAACATCCCCACATGGTGTACAGATAATTCTACAGTAGCTGCAAATTACGCCACTAGCAGACAAATAACTATATATAGCATGTCTCCCCTATTTATGGCCCTATTTGCCACTAAAATCTAAAATATTAGAAGCGCCACCCATTTTATAATCTCCATTAATTTATTTTGCTTTTTTTCCCTTATAAAGGAAAACGAGACGTAATGCAAAGGACACAGTGCTGGAGTTGGACTAAGAAAACCTTTGTTCATATTCCTGCTCAGCCATGAAGCAGCATCAATTGTCGTGAGATTACCACATGCATGCTTCCCTAACTCCTTGAAGGAAGGGTGGCACAGAAAAGTAATCAGTAATAACATCATTAGCTTATGACTGAAGTATTACACACAAACAATAGAAGATACATACATTTATACTGTCTATTTATAGAAAACTGAATCCCATAGAACTTGAGTGTTTTGAGCAGGAGATTTGGATTTAACTGATTAACTAAACTGCTTAAAAACAAACAGCACTTTACATTAATACAAATGATTATTTTATAAAAGCAGGGTTTTGAAATACACAGGGTTTTGAAATACACCACATGAGGCTTCCTGCTTCAAAACTTTGCCTTCCAACTTGTGAAGGGTGACAAAACAAGAAGGGAAACAAACAGATGTAGTGTGCTTATCCCTGCAGCCTCCCCAAATCCTAATCAGAACAGCTGAAGAGGGCTATAGTTTTTCTTTATTTTCAGATATATTGGTGGCATAATGAAATTTAGCAGGATTATTAAATGATTATGCAACGTCTACATTTTGGTGTTGCTTTTAAAACAACACGAATGACATTTTGGTGCTGCTTATCGTTTGTGTCCCTCCCTCAAAGTGATCTTAGAAACTGTTAGGAAGTTAATCTACTGGAGAGGGAGAACAACTGGGCACTCAGTCCTAGTGAAGTACTTCACTAACTCATCCCTCTTAAAATGCCTCACTTCAAGACCCATACATTGTGGAGTGCTCTGAATATATGCTATTTTTTAAATGAAAAATGACACACATACATACCTTGACTTTGACCAGTCTTTTTGTTGTCTTGATTTTGGCCTCACAGAAGGCCCCTCTATATTTTGCACTCACATCAGTGCCCACTGTCAAATATGGAGGCTCATCAAGGGCCTAGAAGAGAAGAAAAAGGAAAACAACTGGCTTTTAATCACTCCCCTGGTATTTCAAAAGAGGCAAAATTATTACACTTATAAGAATAAGCAATCCACTACTAAATTTCAGTGAAAACTTTTCAATGGGAATATTGAAATTGATAGCCATCTTCAAATATCTAAAGGGCTGACACATGGAAGATGGAACAAGCTTGTTTTAGTCTGCTCTGGAGGGTAGGACCCAAACCAATGGCTTTAAGTTACAAAAAAGGAGATTCCGGCTAAATATCAGGAAGCCTTTTCCATCGATAAGAGTTGTTTGCCAGTGAAATAGATGCCCTGGGGAGGTGATGTACTCTACTTTTTATGCAGAGGCTGGATAGCCATTTTTCATGTATGATTTAGTTGAGATTCCTGCATCACGGGGTTTGGACTAGATGGCTCTCAGGGTCCCTTCCAATTCTACAATTCTATGATTCTATATGGAACTCTTGAAAAAAGAGTCCTCATATTGTTCTAAGTAAATTATGAATCATGCTCATGATAGTTCTCCATTCATTCAGTTCCCAAGCATTATGCCTGGCAAATTTCATCTCCTTCTATCCTTGTCAAACAGGACCTGTTTAAGCAACTAGAAACCTAACCTGCTTAGACCTTGGCTAGACATTGATCACATCAAAAATAGCTAAGCCAGTCAATATTAATCTAGACCCTGACCCTGAGACCAAGGAAACTTCCATAGAGATGGTATAGAATATTGTTACAAAAATTACAGGGGGGCACATCTTTAAAGTTGTTAAATGTTACAAATATTATGCCTGAATGTATCCTTTCAACTTGACAGCTCAGGGAAGCTGCTTTTCCTAGAGCGAATCAGAGCTGCTCCCCCATTTCCCCTGCCTTTTCTTGCCCTTTTCTCCCCACTCCCACACCTACAGTAGCTGTGCACCTGTCTTGCCCCAAGCCGCAATATTTTTCAACAGAAATGGATCTAATGGGACAGTGTGTGATCATAAAGGTAAAGGTACCCCTGCCCGTACGGGCCAGTCTTGACAGACTCTGGGGTTGTGCGCCCATCTCACTCAAGAGGCCGGGGGCCAGCGCTGTCCGGAGACACTTCCGGGTCACGTGGCCAGCGTGACAAAGCTGCATCTGGCGAGCCAGCGCAGCACATGGAACGCCGTTTACCTTCCCGCTGGTAAGCGGTCCCTATTTATCTACTTGCACCTGGGGGTGCTTTCGAACTGCTAGGTTGGCAGGCGCTGGGACCGAGCAGCGGGAGTGCACCCCGCCGCAGGGATTCGAACCGCCGACCTTTCGATCGGCAAGCCCTAGGCGCTGAGGCTTTTACCCACAGCGCCACCCGCGTCATATGAGGTGTCAATAATGAGGGCTGGTGAGGTGGTGTCTATGGCTGCTTCCTGTGTGTCTCCAAGCCCCTAACTAACATTAGTGCAGGGATCCAAGGGCAGCAATGACAGGGACAGCACTCAGAGCTCACACAGCTGCTGGAGAGGGAGAGGGAGGTGGCAAGACATGCACAAGCACACAAGGAAGAACAAAGAGGAAGGTGCTCCCAGGCTCTTAGGCTATACTTCATGGGCTGAACTGCAAGCGCTCCTGTCTTCTTCTGCCCAGATGTGGGAGACACCATAAATATACAGCTGGCTCTCAGGCATGAATAAACCAGGCTCGAAGCCCTGAACCAGCAGTGAGCCAGACACTTGCCTGTCTGCTTGTGGTATCCCTTCCTGAAGTTAAACTCAGGAGGAGTTCATCGGGCTCTTACACTTATCAAGAGCACAGAAATATTTCAACAGGCACTAATTCTGCTATCAACGTGCTTCCCCTAATAAACTGTAAGATGAATAGATCTGTTTCAGATGGAATCAAGAAACATTAATTTGGTGTGTAAAAACCCAGGTTTTGATATCTTTGGGCCAATATCCTTTTTAAAGCTTTTGAGCTTGAAGTATTCTATAAAATATTGAAGTCACACTGTCCAACAAACAGAATTTGATCCCATTTCTTAAAACCACTTTTAAGATTTCTATAGATCTGGCAAGGAAACCAACCAAGCCTAGGCTGTTTACAAGGTGGGGGCTCAGTTTGAACATGAATTTTTTATCCAAGCTTTTATACATGAAAATGAAACACAGTGCAACAAAATCCTTTATAGAATTAATGATGTACATTGTGTTGTATAAAATATAGCCTTCCTTGAAACAGGAAATAAAAGGGCCAGTTGTGTGCAGAAAATGGTAGCTGCATACAACTGCTGGGAAATATAGCACAGTGTTATTTATCAGACAATTACATTCTGTCACTTGTGGCTTGCCTTGTGATTACATTGTTTTTTCCAACAAAAATCACATTAGATGTGTTAATTAGCATACCTATGGCGGAATATTTTTGTTATCTGCCTGTTAGCTTAAAAGAGCTAGGAGTTCACTCATCATAGTGCTCAGCTGTGGCTGCTGGCAATCCTGGCTCTGAAGAACCAGGCGTTTTCTAAGAATTATGCAGCTGTAGTGTAAGTGCACAAAGCTATAGAGAGGGGGAAAGAAAAGTGCTGCTTTGCTACTGAGCAGTTTCCCCAAGACCAGTTGCTAGCACACTACAGCCTTCTGTGTAAACAGTTCTGATCAAAGAAGATAATTTAACTCTCAACCTATCAATGAAATACATTTATATACTGCTTCATACCAGAACAGTCTATGAGCAGTTTATAAAAAGACAGCAAACACCCCACACACACACCCCACACCAGAATGGAAATCTCCTCTCCTTCCATATCCCACACATCCTCCCTAAATCTGCTCTGGAGGGTTCAGACATAGACATAGAATCATAGAGTTGGAAGGGATCCTGAGGATCATCATGTCCACCCCCTGCAATGCAGGAATACGCAGCTGTCCCATACAGGGATCAAACACTGAAGGAAGACCCCAGAACAGGTTTTTTGCGGGGAGGGAGGTGCAAGAGGAGAGCAAGGGTAAGTTCCTCTGCACAGTCAAAAGTTCTTGTGTTAGCAGAACATCACTGGCTAACACCTAACAGATCCAAATGGAACAATAAAACCCCAGAAAAGCACGAACTAAGACGTGCGTGGGTTAAAATTCTGGGTGGGTTAAAATTTTTGCCCAAATAAAAACCATGCCAGCTTTGCCTAGCCTTGTGATACAAAATTACACTGTAACCATCATAGATGTTTCAGACTTATGAAAGTTGTTATATGAGGTTCCAATCCAATCCACCATCAATTTATACCAGCTGGGCTGCTGTAGCTCAACTGACATCCACAAGCATTTACACTGTAAAGTGTAAGACCTGACATGACTGAATACCAGCGCTGCTATAGGTAGAGACTATCTCACCTGCACAAGGGAGGTGGGATGTCACAGCAAAGCACAACAGGTGTCTTTTGCTGCTGCACTACCCTGTTTTTTTGTTTTTGTTTTGCACTGTGAGGCTGCCTGGTCTGGTAGCGGGGCAGGCCCCCCCCCCCCAAGATGCCTAGACATTTTGTTTTGCCACCCACAACCTAGGTCCCAGGAGCCACGGGGCTCCTAGCATTCCCCAGTTTCTAACACTGAGTCCTTCTATTCATAGAGGGCAAGCCTGGATTCCACCTACTAGATATATTTGGGAGTAGAGGGAAATGAAAACTAAAGTTGCATGCACACAAAAGCTCATACCAATAACAAACTTAGTTGGTCTCTAAGGTGGTACTGGAAGGATTTTTTTTTTATTTTGTTTCAACAATATTCTTTGTTAACAGTGTTCTGCTTTAACTACCAAAAAAAGATTCTTCTAGTTTAATGAAAATTATTGGCTTTTTAGGAAAGTACTTTGAGTTCCATGATCATGCAAAAGATTAAGAAACAGAAACAGAAACATTTGATACATAATAAATATAAGACAATTTGTCTTCCCGCGCACCCCCCAATGTAGCATCTAAAAGAAATATTTTTCAAAATCTTAACTAAAAGGTGTGATTTAGAATACTAAGGGTTATTACCACTACAGTACTTGGTGATCCCAGCCAGCTGAAAGACTCAGCTGGTGAGAAGGAACCCTTCACATTCTAACATGCCAGGAATTGTTTCTGCCAAAGAAATCCCACAAAAAGACACAGATAAAAATATGTGGCTTATGGAGGAAAAACAAATGCTGCTAGACACAGCAACTATACATTTCACTGAAGTCCAATCAGTCTTTGAATAATTTCAAATGAATTTCATGTGGGTTACAATGTGTGTCAAAAACTTCTTTTTGGCACCGTATACACACTTGCCAACAAAACTAAGAATGCAAACTAAGACATGTATAAACATATCATCATCTCCAAAGCATTCAAAGACCTGACACGGTATAACATTTCAGATGACATAAGAGAGACAAGGTGAAACAGGCAACATATCCTCCTGTCATGGCTTAGTAATACATTATGTTTCACACATGCATTCACATTAGGTGTTAATGGGGGGAAAGTCGCTACTCTTTGATTAAGGCTACACAACAGGAACACAATTGGAGATGCACCTCAAAAATGTAATTTTAATATGTTGTTATACCAAGGAGTTCATTCTTGCTGCCAATTTAAGTCTGCGCCAGTACAGTATCTGACTCAATGAAATCCCATTTTGTCTGGAAAGATGAACTAAACAGGTGAAATTAGGGGAACCAGAGCAAGCTCATCCCTTAGCATCTGCAGCAGGAGTGACTCTCACAAGTTATGCAGAGAGAGGTGACAACTGGAATATGCAGGGGTCTTCCTCACTGCCTGATTCCTGTGGCAATCAAGCCATACAAGGTGTATCTACTAACTGGCCATCTTACAGCTTTGGGGAAGGAAACTTGATGCCTGAGGCACTCTGAGCACCAGTAAACATATCACTACTAATTAGCATTCATCAAAGTGAGGAATGTCAACCAAAATCTTGCACATTAAACCTCTCTTTCATTCTAAGTGCTTTGCACTTATTTCCCATGGTGGGAAAACTTGGTCCTCCTAGG